CTCAAGTGCCGACTAACAACTCAGCATCTTTCAGAATAATGAACAGCTTACGTTTCCACATAACAATCTGCAGTATTTCAGTATCGGTCACTCACAGCATTATGTGCTTGAGGACACGAACAGATTTCACTTCTTTGTTCTTTAATTTGCCATGAAAATTTTTTTCTATTCGATATTTCTAGCCACCATTCGGTGCTATTGGGTTCGAATTAGAGATGAAATTTCACTATTCGAGCACCCCTAATAGAAACGGATACTTGGTACGATATGAGGAGGGTTTTCAAATGCGCAAGCAATCACCTTGCCAGTTCCTCAGGAAGGAGAAAATGGGTCTGTATGTTCTTGGAGAGGGGCCCCGGTAGTTCTTCAACTGCCTTATAGACGCGCTTGATGTTGTCAAACTGAAAGCACAGCAAGCACACCATAGCTCAGGCTTGGCCTCAGGATTTTGTGTGAGCGTATACTGTATCAGTGACTCACATTTATGCAACAGGGCAAATTATGCTACAAACGTATAAGCAGGGAACATGTGCTCACACTTGAGCGGAATTGAAAGGAGTACTGTCAAGCTATATTGAACTTTTGATTAAGTACTTTGCACCTTGCAAACAATACTGGAAAACACCGGGGTGCCGTGTGTGATAGCTTACAATGATGCTTGCTTTTACAAACCAGCTTCAGTTTAGTAGCCAGCACATAGGTAACCCTTGCATGCGGATAATATAATAATTGTTGAGGTTTAATGTCCCAAAACAATTCGCACGTAGATGGCTGAGTGCAAAGTGTTAGCAGTGTTTTCCAACAAAGACCTCTTCTTATTTTCTTTTCAATGGTTGTTGTTGTTTTTTTTCAAGCATGACAGCATTTAAGCGAAGTAAACTGGTGCTGTGTAACTTTCTTAACTGGTTGCACAACTACCATGAGTAAGTGGTGCGAATGCCCGTGTGATAACCTAGCATTCAAAGTCACCCGGCAGGTACCTTGGCACGTATAGTTACATTAAAACTCCAGGTGGTCAAAGTTTATCTGGAGTCCTCCACTACAGCTAGCCTCATAAAACCCCAGAATTTATTATTATTATTATTATTATTATTAGCTTTATAAGAATAAGGCTTCACGATTCATTCATAACTAACTTTAGTGACTTGACAACAATGTAGAAAAATGCATTTCCTGTTAAGATTACTTGCACTCTTGTTTTCTCTAATATTCCTTTTTGCATCTTTAATCACACGATTCCAACACATCACAGACCTGACGTCTGCAGCTTTTTATGTCAACGCCAGTCTTTTCGCTGACTTCGTCCAGGTCCTTACGATTTCGTGAGGATAGTTTCTTTCCTAGGAATTCTCTCACAACATTTTGGTCGAAGTCATAGTACCTGCAATGTAACTCTGCATCAGTGATACCCCAGCATTCACTAAATGCACAAGAAATGCACCTAAAAAAACTCTGATGACATACACATGTGACATATTGTGCTACAATGATCGGTCAAGAAGAATACGTGGTGCAATAACGAGAACCGCATAAATTGAAAATTTGATCCATACATCTAAATTCTCAAAAACAAGCAATATATCGAGTATTTTATCGAAACAACCAGAGTCGCAATGTAAAAGAGGTAGACAATGCTAGATTCACTGGCAACTTACAACATCTTAATTTTAGAAGCAAACATATGGTATGTCTGTTAATACTAAGCCCAGGATGGCTGGTGCTTACGTCAGTGAAACTTCCACATTTGATCACAGTTGAACCTTGTTATAATGAACACTGATATAGTGAATTATTGGTAATAGCAAGCAAATATAAAATCTGTTTGAACTCCAACATGTTTGCCATCATGTTGGTGAAGTGATACTAAGTTTAATAAGTTGCATCTACAAAGTCAAGTGCAATCTTTCATATTGATAACTTGCATCTGACATCATCCGATCTCCTTCTAAAATACTGGTTTGTAACATACTTATGAAAGCTGGTTCACCAGCCGAAGCGTCAAGTAGAAATATTTGCTGATGTACTTAGTTATCCTTTGTAAATGCTATGCCAATTTATGAAACTTTTTTTTTCCAAATTACTATATAAATATACACAAAGGACAGCCCATAACTCATGGCCTTTTCATCACTTCAAGATTCAATCTTCCCTGAAACTTAACCTTGTACAGATACATGCATTTTGCTGTGGTTTAACCTGGAAAGTTTGTTGAATGTTTTGCTACTTTTTATTTAACTGGTTGCACTCCCATTTACAGTAAAAGCCTAGCTGATTCGTACTTGAAGAGGACCATAAAATTATTTGAAATAAATGGAGTTAATATTAGCGAGCGGTCACTAGAATGAATGGACATCATGTCTCATTGCGCATGCAAAACCAAAGAAGCCACCTCTGGACTCATTATCACAATCTAGGCACTACTACACATTTGGGGCAGGTAATTTTGTAAACTAAGTTCATGGAGTTCTAACAGCAAACAGAATTAACTGATCTGTCATCGTTATGCCTGACACAAGCACCGGCATGCTTTCATATCAATGAGCATTAATACGAAATATATTGTGCTAGTTATGCTCCAAAGCATGTTTTACGTGGCAGAGTTAATGAACTCATTATTAAAAGTCATCAGTAATTCATATTCGATTGCGTTTCTTCTGTCACGACTCGGTTAGCATCATTTGCAGCTTGCCTAACAGCTCCTGTGCAGTGTCCAAATTCTCGTCAAATGAGAAATGCTGCTGTGTCGTTGTTACACATTAGTAGTAAATTTGGTTTGGTTTGTTTTTGCAATACACTGTGATTACTTTGGGCCAGATTCTGTGAGGAGCTATGAAAACAATGGGCTCCCAGTTTAAGTAACCGTTGTGGATACTGATGCGTCCGAATTATTGGGAGTTTTTTCCATAGAAATAGACAGGGCTGTTCTGGGACCTGGGCGTCAGTTTGAATTACCTGTAAAAAGTTTGAATTGATGTGATTTTACTGTATTAGTCTCTCTTTTTGTTAAGCAACAAATTTATGCTAGCCTCCAGCAAAAAAAAATTACGTCATTCTGTTGAATGGCCAGTTCGTGCCAGGTGATGTACCTGGCAATGAGCATTCTCTGCGTCTGTGGCGCCAGCTGAAATGTCCACTGCTCAGCCAGGTGAACAGGACTGTGCAGGAGTCGTTCAAGCATTTGAGTGTCCGGTAGTGGTCCAAGACATCACTCTTGAGCAGATCCAAAGGTATGTCAGTTTCCTTCATGCGTTCATTATGGTGCAGTGTGACTGCCGCGTCTTGAGCTGAAACCACAAGGTGCAATCACTCAGTGCATCACTGCTACACTTTTTATGTGAAAGCATTAAATATCTCATGTATTGGTGTGACACTATGCACTACAATTGTGGCACAGCCCTATGCTGACCATAGTGCTCAACAACAAAATGGCTCCTTGCTGCAGCTTGTATAAATGCTCCAAACACAACCTAGAAATTCCATCCGAATCAGGCCTAATGGCGATAAAAAGTGACTGCTTGATACCGGTTACAGTCAAACATTTTGTTGGGCAAATTGATTTTTGACTGTTGAAAAAAAGAACAAAGTGCAAAAGGAACAAGAGCAACCTATCCTGTGTTGTCAGTTGTTCCTCATAATGCATACAGGACAATTGTTGAGTCTTTGCACATGTGCATCACTGTTGTTCATTGCTTTTACATGTTATTCTGTCCATATATAAGATGGTCATTTACCCACGATAAGCGGTTGGAAGTAATTGCTGTGTGTGGTGTGTGTTTCTTGAGTGGAAAAGTGTGTGAATGTGGGAGTGTTTCAATGGAGTACCAAGTTGTGCTAAGTGCTTACAATATGATGAGTTACCAGCTAGTCTAGACGTAAGTTTTAATAATGTTCTTTTTCCTATTGCAATACAGTCTTGCTTCAGAAGCTCAGTGTCTTGTTGAGCCGCCTGTTCGGTGAAGTATGGCAAGCGAATGAAGGGGGACAAATTATCAAGTGACCTTCGTCATGATGTAACACTCCCTAGTTTCCTAAGCCCTTTAAAGCCAATGGTTGCGTAACGTCACCCATGTGTCCGCGCGGGCGCTGCGTTCCGGTGTTTGCATCTTCGCTTGGTCAAAGGTGCGCAGACCCTGAGGTAACATGTCACGATGTGAAGGGTATCAGGGAGTACGAACAATGAATTCGACTAAAACCTCGAGGCAATGGGACGCATGTCTTTCACATTGCTGCTTGTTAGTCTTGCAAGGAGTCTGGTCGCAGAAAATTGCTTCAGATGCTACGTAGTGCGTAACATGCCACGGATACTTTTTTTTTTTTTCACTTGCAGCTTTTAACTAGAAAAAACAAGAGAGACCTGTAAACACGTTGTGTGATTTTAGAGAATCTTAAGCATAATTTCTCGGCGTTCCAGAAGTTCTACAGCACATTTTGAATAGTTTTTTGGTGAAAATAAGTTCTGCGCAAGTGCCCGGTAACAATGCTACAACTGAGAGGCTACGAATGGCACAAAGGCATTGATTATAACAAGTGGGATCTCACCTGAATATCCTTGCAACCATAGTTGGAATACTTCCGGATCGATCAGCGTGTTGTTCCCCACAAAGACGTCAACCTCGGCCAACATGTATTAGCTGTGGTGAACTGTAATTCTAATTCAACGTCGTATTGATGCAGACAAACACAGGACCAGACGCAAAACCGACAATTACACGCTTAAGCGAAAGCGAAACCAAAATACGCCAATGTTGCTGTGCTTGCTTTTATGTCGTCTGCCTAATCTGGCGCGCTTCTTGCAAAAAAAAACCTAATCACAATATTCATTTTTTCTCTTTAGTGCATTGCTTTTCTAGTTCATGTTTTTATGAACACTCTTACATTTATTGTGTATGTGTAGTTCAGGGTGCCGTTGCTTTGCAATGGTTTAAGTGTTTTCTATGTTGACTTTCAGTGCGAGAGCTCACGCTGCAGCTGCGGTATACCTATTGCTTTCTGCTCTCAAGCCGCAAACATTGTGCCTTGATGCGGACGCCATTGTTGATGTGCGTGGTGCGATATTTTCCGTCGGATTACAGCAACGCTTTGAGAAGAAAGAACTGTGGTGTGCAATGCGCCTGATGCAGCGGTTCCCTATGTAGCTCGGATCCGAGCTCACGCCGGACTCGACGTGGTCCTTACGGACCCCGTCACAGAACTGTCTGAAAGGAAAAAGAACAGAGGGCTCCCCGCGATAGACGGATGTCTGGGCGCCCATTTCGTGGTGGCCGGCGCGGCGGCGGATTCTATCCCAGAGCACCGTACCGGGGCCGTGGCCGGGGTTTTCGGGGAGGTGGATCGTACGAGGGACGGGGTCGGGGTCGTGGTAGAGGTGGCTATGGGTACAACAAACGCTACGACGACGATCGAGACCGGGACAGGTATAGCCGGGACCGCTACTACTCCAGGTCGCGCTCCCGTTCTCGATCGCGCTCTCGTTCTCGCTCGAGGTCCTACTCCAGGTCGCGGTCCCGCTCCCGGTCTCGCTCCAGGACGCCGCAGACCCAGAGGGAGTCCAGGGCGCGAAAAGTTCCCACTAGGGAGCAGCTGCAAGAAGTGAGTGACCCGTCCATGTTTTTCTTTTTTTGCATCCTCTTTGCTTTATTGTCATGCTTATCTGTTGCTAAGAGCAACACTTGCTTTTGATTGATTGCTCGCGCGCTGGAAATGCCATTTAGGTGAATGTGTTTCCGTCGCTACAGACGTCTCGTGCGGCAGTCCACTGCGTACGATGCAAGCACGGAGCTCTAGTCTAAATGGTCATTGTAACTGCGAAATTTGCTACGTGTACGGATTACTGCGATGTGATCCGCTTCGTTTGCTGCATGGCACAATTAACTACGTAAACAGGCATTTGTGCTGCAAGTGGGTTGTAAAGCACTCGTTTAAGTGCCGCTATTATAACTGCTTCCTAAAAACATTCATTGGTGAGAGCTTGCTAGCAGGTGTTTCGCCGTTTTGTTACAAAGCCGGGGTTCCGGGTTATTGCGGCAACGAGTAATATCAAGTTTTGTCCCCGCCAGTAACATTCAATGCAGTTGTCTTACATATGAAACTATATAATATTTTTGCAACCTGCCGATGCATAGAGGCTTCCGTAAATCTGATGCGCAATGAAAGGGGCCATCTCTCTTGACCAGCTGCAAACCTGCGTTGTGCGAACGCGAAAAACACGCAGTTCTTGCCTTCGTGTTGTTACGTAGTTGGGGTGCATTTCAGTTTCTGCGAATGTCTTTCTACCCGTAAAAAGTGTGTGTATATGACGCAGTTCGCATTGAGCGAACTCTGCTTTTGTGATGAGGCTACGCATTAGTCTCCCCGACTGGAAGCCCAGACGTTTTCAGGGCGGCAGTAGGCGGCAGATTTTGAGGAAAGTGCTGAGTGATACGTTCACAAATGCTAAGGTATTCCGTGTTTTACTAGTCGTTCGAGAGCAATACAGTGTGACTTTGACGATTGCTAGCTTTTTTATAAAAGTACGGTTGTTGTGCAGAAGTTGGTTCGTTTGGTACACAACCCTTAGAAGCTTTGTAGGAGTGCTCTGAGAGAGCCTTTGAAATTCACGAATAATGCTGATTGTCGAGACTTGCAACCGTTCCTGTATTGTGCTGCCTAAAGTTCTGAAAATGTTCATGTATGATAGATTATAGGATGTGAAGTCTCAAAGGGTAAAGTGCAGATCACTTCAAAAAGATAGTTTTTTTGTATCCTCAGTACTGTAGGCCAGTTGGCTAAAGTTTACAATCGGTATTTCGAGCGTCCCCTCAAGGAGCACAAGGAGCATTACAGTAAGGGTCATTCCGCGCCAAACATCCCAGCCATTTTGGCGACCATCTCAAATCTATTCGAAAAGGTCATGCTCATTTACTGCATTGAAAATAGTGAACTGTTAGAATATTTTAGAGAGAAAAATATTTTTGGTCACGTGGCTGCCTTCTGAACTTCCAGGAATGTCGGTTGGGTGTTGTTTGGGGAAAAATTCATTTTAAAAGTACCGCTGCTTCTTTCTTTACCAAATTTATTCTACATGGTAAATAAAGGAGCTTGTGTAAGGTGTTTGTAGCTCATAATTATTAGTGCAATTTTTGTGGCACATACACCTCTACAAATTTATCCAAAATGTGTTATGTTTACATTTTTTGTATTGCAATACTGCACTTTGTATGAATATCTGAGTAGCGAATACTTACCTCACAGAAAGTATATTTTGAGGGGGAAAAAAAAAAGATTTTAGACCTCCCAAGCTGCTTAACTTAACGGGAAAAAATTACAAATTTAGCAAAATCAATATTTTTGTCCCTATTGAGATACAATTTGCACCATATGATGGTCCAATTAAAAGTTGCCTTTTTGCCTAAATCAAAAGCAAATAAACACTTTTTGTTATGTCACAAATCTTATCATTACATTTTTTTTTTTTGTTTTAAGGAAGAAAATAATTTTTGAACTTTCCCATTGGTGTCTATCTTCCCAATAGTATTCATAAATAAAATAAACGATTTTGGTCATACAGCAGCTGCCGCCTTGAAATTTCCCATTGCCGTCAATGGGAAAGCTTAAAAATGATTTTCCTTAAAACAAAAAATGTAATGATGAAATTTTCACTAAATTTCCAATATGAAAAGAGCCATTTATTTGTTTTCAATTTAAGTATAAAAGTGATTTTTAATTTTACCACCACATGGTGAAAATTGCATCTCAATATAGACAAAACTGACGACTTCGGGAAAGTAGTTAAATTTTTCTCAGAAAGTTAAGCAGCTTGAGAGGTTTAAAAATATTTTTCTTCAAAATATATCTTCTGTGGAGCATTTACTACTCACATATTCATACAAAGTGCAGTATTGCAATAAAAAAATGCAAACATAACACATTTTGGCTAAATTTGTGGAGGCATATGTGCCGGAAAAATTTCACTAATATTACTGAGCTTCAAACACTTTACACAGGAATTTTTACTTAACACATAGACCAACTTTGGCATAGAAGGAATGATCGATACTTTTAAAATAAAATTTTCTACAAACACCCAACCGACATTCCAGGAAGTTCATAAGGCAGCCACGTGACCAAAAAGTTTTTTTCTCTCGGTAATATTCTACCGTTTCACTGTTTTCAGTGCATTAATTGAGCACGATTTTTTCAAAATGCATTTGAGATGGTCGCTAAAACGGCTGGGACGTTTGGCATGGAGTTAGTGAATTTTCTCAGTCCGTTTTTCGGGATGGTTGAATCTTATTAATGTTTAAATCTTACCAGCAGTTTTTTTTTAATTAATTAATGAATGTTACTAATTGCGACTACTTGAAGATACAATTTCTGACACTATTGTAATGGCTATTTCTGCTGTGCCCCAATCACTGGTACAACAGTTTAGTGGTGCCCTGCCGCTGTGGTCTAGTGGCTAAGGCACTCGGCTGCTGACCCGCATAGCCTGGGTTCGAATCCCGGCTGCGGCGGCTGCATTTCCGATGGAGGCGGAAATGTTGTAGGCCCGTGTGCTCAGATTTGGGTGCATGTTAAAGAACCGCAGGTGGTCTAAATTTCCGGAGCCCTCCACTACGGCGTCTCTCATAATCATGAAGTGGTTTTGGGACGTTAAACCCCACATATCAATCAATCAACAGTTTAGTGGTGTCTGGGGCAAACGAGCTGTTTTCTGTGTCATGCATAGGTGCAAAGACACTTTATGAAGTGATTTAATTGCTGCATTTGTTTTGTACAGAATTATTTTTTGTACACTGGGTCACTTTATTAAACCATGCATTATTTCACCAATATAACTTTTAACAGCTTTGCATTAGAGAAATCAGAGTTATCAGAGAAAAAAAAAAACAGCGCAAAATTTATACAGGCACAAGGTGAAAAAAGCGCAACACGAGTGCTGACTTATAAGCATGAACTCATAAGCATGAACCCACTTGCCCTAGCTCCAACCCTAGCATAGTTATCAGTTCTGCTTACAATAAGTGGATTTAGGTCTATTTTCTGACTGATTTGCTTGTAAAGTTTTCTAGTCACGTTTTTGGGGCTTTTTGAATTTTTTCAGCAAATATAGTTATTTCAGTAATCATCACTGGCATTTCTAGTGCATTTGTCAATGACTTTTCGTAGTGATGTGCATTCATCCTATTAGAAACTACACTAGAGACAATCTTAAAGAGTAGATTTAGCTACCAGGTCACAAACTGCACTTTCGTTCAAGTTGCGTTTATATTCACTGCCCAAAATAATTAGTAAACTTTCCAACTCTACTTCTTATTTGAGTGACATTTTTAGTGTAGTTAGAAATATTTTTGAGAAAGAAAATTCATTAAATTCAGGCTTTTCTTCGTCTTCTGTTTTTTATTTTTTTGGGGTGCTGCGCTTTTATTTTTTTGGGGTGCTGCGTTCATGATGATTATGTGCTTGTTAGCTCGGTAGTGTCTGAGAACTCTGAAGCAGGTGCACTCAAAGATGCTTTACAATATTTCGATTGGTAAAGCCAAGTAAACCATTACAATCTGCGAACTATGCTATCATGTATAGCACAGTTTCATGCATGGTGGTGAGCTTACAGTCCGGCAAAAATGGCTGCTCACTTATCGCTGTGGCTTTTTAAACCCTGTGGCTTTTGAGAGTATGCAAGTGTGCAAACTCTCAAATGAGTACTGACGCAGGATTGGAGACAGCACACAAAGGGCGTATCACGTTTTTTTGGTACAAAGTGTGATGCTCTCTTGACGCCAGAGTTGTGCAACGCGTATAAAATATTCTACTTTGATTTTGAAGTTTTATCACTGAGCATTGGCAAGCTAGCCCCTCTGCAGTGGTCATATCCGATGAGTCAAGAAGGTTCTTCTGAATTCGGCACGCTGCGTACAGTGAAAATTGGGAAAATCACTGTTGGAGTCAGTGAAGGACAATTGCGCACCAGAAGCGGATGACAGATCTGCCATTAGTACGTGGCAAGTCACATAAGTCAACCACCAATAAATAAATGTGGGCGTGCAAGCGTATCGCTATACTAGCAAGTGTTTATCAAGAAAACATCTGACCCACAGGTCGCGGGATCGAATCCCGGCTGCGGCGGCTGCATTTTCGATGGAGGCAAAAATTCTGTAGGCCCAAGTGTGCTCAGATTTGGGTGAACATTAAAGAACCCCAGGTGGTCTAAATTTCCGGAGCCCTCCACTACGGCATCTCTCATAATTCTATGGTGCTTTTGTAACGTTACTCCCCACATACTAAGAAAACATATTCATAACTTGAATTTTGTTGAAGCTAACCGAAAAGCAGATAGACAGAAGAGACTAACAATAAGAGCGGTTAAACGAAATTCCAATTATGAACATAATTCAACTGGCCCATATTGCCATCTTGCTGGAAGAAAACATCTCTCCTGAATAGTCAAATCTGAGTGACACCGCACTGGTGAACTTCTCTAGATATATTAAGCTTCCATGATTTTTCTCTCCTCTCTCTTTTTTTTTATTTTCGAAAGTTCAAAAATCTAGTGTTCCTGAACTTGGTTGTGCACATTCAATTTATTCATTTAAAAGCTAGGTGACTGCCATATTCATTTTTAGAGCGCAGCTCTTAGGCTCCCATTCCTGCATTGAGTGGCATTGACGTTTCCATCGTTGTTGGTGGCATAACTGATAGACTTGAAAAAATTAAAAGTTGTTGCCCACTTCCTCCCATTTTCGATGTATTCATGCAGGAAACAAGAACTGTGAATAATTACAAACACACATGTAAGGACATGATCTCATAAGAGAGAAGGTTATTTACTGTGGCTTGCAGATTTTTATGATTTTGTTGAGCTGTTGCCTAACATGGCGATGGTTGTGGCACGGTTTGCTTATGTCTGTGTTTGGCTGTGGTTCTTTCATGCTTGCAGATTGCTGCAGCTGTGACGAAGTCGATAGTGCAAGAAAAAGAACAGCGGCTAAGGGCAAAGACGCCCGTCCGGACCCGATCTGGCTTTGCGGATTCGCCACCGGCATTGGCCAGCACTCGCCGCAGCTTGAGCCCCGTCCGTGGAGATGGCGGGAGCAGCCCGTTCTCCTCTTCAAGGGACTACCCTGTGTCTAGACCCAAGACCCCATCGCTCAAGCAGAAGGACTTATCAGGGGATGGAGGCTTCAGGTTGGTATAGGTGTCTGGCTGTTTAAAGCTTCTAAATGATAAGGAAAGTGTAGGGTAAAATATAAGTCGCTTTAAAGGGAGATACCGCTTTTTAAAACTTGTTTTTAAAGTGTTACTGACACAAGCTTTAAAAATTTTCAGGTTGTCACTCCAAGTAGAAGCATGAGTGTCGATAACTAAATATAGTGTCGTAGGGCTTGGGAATGCATAGAATATATTTTAAGATTTTCTACCTGAAAACAGCAATTTTGGTTTTCGGTGTCGGACATCAACGAAAGTCTGACATCATGGGAAGACTGCAACAAGACATACCAGCAACACCCGTCAGTTTGCTGTCATTTGCACGTGGTTTACGTAAACGACAAGGGAAGTTCGAGACTCTTGGCTGCCTGGAGAATGCACCTTTGACAAAGCCAGTGAACTGTGTGCTTCACGTGATAATGTCCATTGCAGTGGGGCCGGCTTGCAGATGCTAGGCTATAAAAACATTAGAATCTAGTGTTGTTTGGCTCTGGTATGTGGAGAGCATTGATAGTGCTTTCCATGGAAATGAAAAGCATTTTTTTTTTTTTTGATGTGCCGCAACATTGTCATTACTCCTTTAATGCTTCAGAAAACCAAGGAAAGTATAAGGCAACTATTTATCACTTAGGGGTACTGACAGGAATTTTTTCACTTATTGTTCTTTTTTTGTGTCAAATGATGGGCCAAGTACCTGAGAACGTAGAAAACGCACTGGTAAGCTTGAGTACGCCCTGAAAAATTAATTACAGCATGTTAGCTTCTGTTCATACTGTACACTGTAGTGACACGTATCGCGAAGGAGTACGGCTACTAGCGTGGGTCCGGTCTTAGCGAGCCGCAGGGCACGTGTTAACCGTCGCCGTGGCGAGAACACGATACTGCTCTAAGTCGCAACACTTTATTGTGGCAACACTCAACGCAGTACAGCCAGTTGCAAAAGGCGTGGCGGGAAAGCAAATAGGCTTATCCACACCAAGGGCACAAAGTACTACACAGGGTACCACGAGCACGTCTCCGTGGTAAAAGTGATTCACGGAGACACTGGGGCCTAGGTCCTGTTGCTCGAGCGAGGGCAAAGGCACTCGCGTTGGCTTCAGAAAGAGATGGGTCGGCGTAACTTGGCCACGCACTAGGACACCGTACTGCCCTTCAGCCGAGCGTACGCAAAGGGGCAACAAAAGGTGAGCGTTCGCCTCGGGCGCGAGGCGCCGTCACCGAAGTCCGACGAGCCCCAAACAACAGGAGTTGACGAACAGAAAAGGGAATGCGTGCTCACCGTAAGCTGTCCCAAGGAATCTCTGACTCACTCCCCAAGCACGCGCGCAAAAGCTCTCGGGAGACCGTGCGCGGTGCCACAGTTGACATCTGTACCGGGTGAGAGGGGTTAAACGTCACTCCTATCTCTCCCAGCACGGCAGACAGCGGAGAAAGGGAGTCATGTCGGGACATGGGAAGGGCGCGGCAAAGCTCGTGCAAAGGCAGCGGGCTAGCCTCAATTCCTACAACCCTGACGTCACGGCATGGTATGAGCAGTGCCATCCAGCAGTAGTATGTGCACGCAGAAGTTTTCGTGACGTATCTCATCAGCACGTCGCTTCTTCGATCGTATGCTTCGTATGCTGCACGCCGCACGCGTGGCAGCTGTCGCAGCAGGGAGGCTTTGCCGTGGTATTTTCGGATATCGCCATTGCCTGTAGCATGAAAAACATTAGATAAACTGTTTATGATGCGAAATAACTTATTGTTGAATAAAGTTGTAATGATATACAGTTGCACTAGGCTGGGGTGTCAGCCATCTTATTTATTTTAACACCTTCTTCACACCTTCCTCTTCGTCTCCCTCCAACCCTACCTAACGTCCACGTACAAAAGTGATTCTTGAAGTGTGCTATTTCTGCAAGGCAACGTCCATTTCCGAACTCCCAACGAGGTATCAAGCCGTGATGGCAGGACAATTCGCAGGTAAACAAACAGTGGCACCGACCGTCTTGGCGAACTGGCCCGTCTCGTTCCCACCTTTGCTCTTTGCATCGAGGCGGTCGAGAAAATCAGTTGCACACGTAAAATAGTCGTATAAGTGTACAAGCTTTTATCATGTTGGCAAAAAGAAGTGCTCAATAATGAGCTCACGTTGGAAAGTGACCGGAGCTACCGAGAACGTTGGCCTTGCTAGGCCTATGCTCGGAGTCTGGAATGAATATGGCCTGTTGGGATGTGTAGCTTTTTGGCAATGTTATAAGACGACAAAGAATGGATGTGTGAGTTTGTTTATTTTGTGCTTAATAAAGAGGATATGATGTCTTCTGACCGTGCAAGCGGAGGTGTCATATGTGGGCGGAGACCAAGTGCTCATGGCTTGTTCTGCCCATGCGTCGTGAATCGACGTATGCTGCTTGCGCTGTCGCACGCTGAGTTGGATGCCAAATCGCACCATGTTTTCAGCGCTTTTTAAGGTGCAGGTTCTGTCGACAATCCGAATTCGGCCAGAAACTGCACAATGCGCGCCTGAACAGAGTAAACTCTGCTTGGTTGGGGTCCAGTTTCTGCCACGGCGCACGAGGTAGACCCACGCTTGCCTCAGCGCTGGATAGGACTGGAATCGGTGCAACTTGCGCATATTGTCCTCCGTTTCACCAGTGCAAGCCAATTCGCAGGGCTAAGTATTGGTAGCCATGATGACAAATTCAAAATCAAATGATTCCTTTGCCTTCTGATAAGCGTATATATTGTGTTCGAGTGCATGTACACTATATTCCATACTTTGCCAGCTTGCTTCACAGGTCTAGCAGCTTGCCAGACTGCTGTGTGAAGTCACCAGGATTAGTACTGTAGCTTGACGTCAAGTTAGTGTCGATGTCGGTGGGTGCGCCGCGAGAAATTTGACTTTAATATCAAAATAAGATATCTTGTCGGCATTTGCTGAGCGTCATACTTGTTTGGAGCCATCTCTGCGTACGTACAAAAGATTTGTATGGCAGAGTAAATTCGCCTCAGCAAAAAGGCATCAGTACACCTTTCGGGGAAGGGGGCAGGTGTTTTTCAAGATTTTTCTGGTCTTACCACTGGCACTTGTCTTGTGGTTGTGATGCTTGACTGCTGACTAATCCGCAGGTCGTGGGCTTTAACCCTAGCCACAGCCTCTGCGTTTTGATGGAAGTCAAATGCTAGAGTCTCATGCGATTAAGTTTAGGTGTACATCAAAGAACTACAGGTGGTCGAAATTTTCAAAGGACTCCATTACGTTGTCTTGTGTAATCATGCAGTTGTTCCAATTCTTCTCAACATTATTATTATATCTATTTATAATCTTGATATTTATGCAGTCATTTCTGATATGCAATATTATTATTATATCTATATAGAGTATTGTTATTTGTGCAGTCCTTTCTGATATGCAATTACTTTTGTTGTATGGCGTGTGGTTTTAAAATGTCAAGCACTTCGTATGCCTCGTTGAAACCAGAGTTTACCTACATTGAGAGAATCGCAAAGTAAATGAACGTATCGTGATAATGTGGGATGAGAAATGTATCCAATAAAACAAGAATGGATGTTGTAAGCCTATTTGAACCAACATTGTTGGAGGCTGAACATTCACAAGTGCCATATTTACTCGTATATATTGCACACTTTCTTTCTCAATTACGGAACTTCAGGAAGGGGTTGCGTAAACTACGTGGATATTTGGCAAATGCATGCTGTGCAAAAGTCCTAATGCGCATCATATATGCGTTAAAAAAAAGAAAGTAAATAAATAATGGGAGCACTACAAAGTATGCTTGTTTATTTAAAAGAATTAGCCTGTACTTTAAGCAGCCAGATCTGGTCACACACAGTCTAGTCGTAATCACTGGCCGAGAGACCCGTTTGTGAATTGTCAGTGGCCGTCGCCGCTGCCCCAACTGCCTTCCCTAATGTCCCACTCACATTCGGTGGCAATATCGGCGTGAAAGCCGTTTCGGCTGCAGTGAGATCGCCAAAACAGCCCTTTCAACACTGATACTGATTTTTGCGACAAGTGCCACTGATCCCCTCAACGCACAGCAATAAGGGCGGGAGTAAAAAATTCGGAGAACATTAGTGCACTTATCACAGTCGCCGAAAACTGGACCAACAGTGAAGCCCTCCTTAAGCACTTCTTTATTTTCGACAAATGCCAAGGGGCTGTTCTCATGAGTAGCAATGAATTTCGACCTACCCATTCCCGTATATGTCATGTTAGGACCTAGTTGAATTGATAACATTATTGCGGCACGGCCAAGCTTCTCGTATTTTGCAAACCAGGACCAGCCAACCACCGCGTCCTGCCTCCTTTCTTCTGTGGTGAATTCCAGTTTTCCCATAATTGAAAAGGTCTTCTTCAACGCCAGGAAACTTGTATTAGCACTCTTTCATTTTCTCCTGTACCAAACGTCACACATTGGGAAACTCAAGTCCTGAAGGGCTTGGTGACGGCTTGCTTCCCATTTTCTTATGCAAGCTTTATAACCATGTACTTGAATTTCGCCATAGATAAAACGGATTTAACCCATTGTAAAGCCCATTTAACGTTAGACCATCGCAAATTTCAGTGCGTATGGCCTGCTGAAGTGTCGAAGGCAGGCTTGTGGTGGGCGCGTCGCTATGCCGCAGCAGGGAGAGCTGTCGGGCAACTTCCTCTCTGATGAAGTCTTTGATCTGGTTGGACAGACTTTCTTGGCGAACGTTGGCATTTGCGAGTGCGACGGCCGAGATCGAATCTGGTGGTGGGACACTCTGTCGGGCTATAGAACGCTGACGGCGCAATTCATCGAAGCTCTGGCACAGGCTTACGAGGGTTGCCACCGTGGTCAGACTTTTTGCTAGCAACATCTGGAATGCGCCATCCTCGATGCCCTTGAGAATCTGCCGAATTTTCTCTTTTTCAGGCACAGATGGGTTAACACGCCTGCAGAGGTCGAGCACATCCTCAATGTAACTAGTAAACGTCTCGCCAGGCTCTGGGCTCGGTGGCGTTGACGCTGGTCAGCGTGGAGCTTGCAAACGGCCGAACGCTTCAGTCACGAGGGTCTTGAAGGAGGACCTGTTGGCGATGGCGGTTTCGCAGTTGGTAAACCAAAGCTTAGCTACGTCTGCCAAGTAAAAGATAACGTGGGCGAGCTTAGAATCGTCGTCCCACTTGTTGCTGGCACTTACGCGTTCGTACAAGGAAAGCCAGTCTTCGAAATCTTGTTCACCACTGCCCCTGAAGATTGGCGGGTAGCACCGGGGCAGGTAGACGGGGCAGCCGATGGTGCTGGCTGGGCAGGGATGGGCTGGTTGGCGACTGCGTCAGTCATGTTTTGAGGTGGTCTCTCGGCCAACTTGCGAGAGCGGAGCTCCAGGTCTGCTTGGGGATCTCAGCAGCCTCCACCAAATGTGACGATGTTTATTCAAGCAGAGAAGTCGCATTGAGGTTGCAACAAAAAATGGCCAAACGACAAGTCTGGCAGAGGCGGCACAGGCTCTTGCACAATCAGAGCAGCAGGGGCTTTTTCGTTATCTTTTGAAGGCGCATACGCGTTGGTGCGTATGCTCCACTACATAGTAAAAATGCAACGGACGGGTGGGAAAACCTAAACTTCCCTAATTTACCAAACGTGTGTTGCAGCGCAGACACAGAAAACGAAAGGAACAGTTGTCACAGCAGGCCGTCACTCACTTCCGATGCAGAAATTTGTCTGTGCTGTGTCATGCACATGCGTTTCGATGGAAAAGATAGGGAGATAAAGAGGCAAATGCTCAAGCAGTTCTGACGAGCTTTCAACAAGTTTAGGTGTCCAGGTATAGTATTCTAAATGACCGTAGTTAGGGGGAATGTCCCCGGAAGACGAGACTTAGTACTTGCAGCCCAATTTATATATGGCTGCACTCGCCTGCTTGGCAAGGGGCGTACCCGTCCAAAGTATCTAAAGGTGATCTCTTGGTGCGTACGCCCGTGAGCTGGTGTGAGCGGATTCGGAAGAGCAGAATATGTGAGAATTCTTTTTTTCAGTTGAGCAGGCTAATATTAGGGGCGTGCAAATTATTTGAGTAAATATGGCAGGTTCATGTCAAGCTAGGATTTTTTTCAGTCAGAAATGTTCAAAATATTCTAACTTTTGCTCAAATTAATCTAGAACATTCATTTTTGTCTCCTTGGATGCAGTTATGCAGAGGTGCAACAGCTGCACCAAGGAGAGATGCCAAGGAGGGATGCTCATTTCGCGCAATCTATTCGCAATAAGAACGTGGGACGTAGAAGTGTGTATGATAAATGTCCAAATGCACTCCCCAAGCCAATAGACATGCATCATTATTGCTTTATCTGGTTGAACGCTCATTGCAAGTGAGCGAAAAAGTTGTGTGCTCTAACCCCACCGTGAAAAAAAGGGGGGGGGAGTGGCATAGGAAAGGGAATTTGAAAATTCTTGTCTTTGTCTATCAATACTCCGTGTTATCGTGATATGCTGATCTATTTCATAAAAGTTTGTTGGACAGAGGAAAACGCTGTTTTATACAGATTTTTTTCCTCTGTTCCAGCCACTTGCTGTACAACTGTACGTGGTAAAATAAACTAAACTCAAACTCATATACCTTGCCTGGCAAGAGGCGCATGAAATGTTGATATTTAAAAAATTAAATTTTGTTCTGCATAAGTCATTGCATATTTGTGACCAATACAAATAAAGTCAGCAAGTTTCAACAGTACTGATCAAGAACAAAAATTAAATAACAGCTTTCTTTCCTTGAAAGGCTACATGAAGAGAACACAAAAACAAGTCAAATAAAATATTTAAGTGCATATTTCTAGCTTTAAGGGAGACGTGAGTTGTGAGAATACATTTCTCTATTTTGTTTCGAATACAGATTAACTTGTCTAGTGTATTCATGGTGCTTGAACATGTGCAATAATTTTTCTTGAGGATCAAGTAGTTCATGAGATACACAAAACTGCCTATATATTGTTACCGCAAGTGGATAGAAAAGGCAATTAAGCACTAAGTGAATATTGTCTGAGAGCAAATTACTATTTCGTGCAATGAGTACAATGCTCTTAACATTTCCTAAATCAGATCGTAAATAGTGATTCGGTTGTGGATCGAAATTGAGTGTTTGCATAGGAACTATCATAATGAAAACGAAAAAATTAAAATTAAAAAAACATATGGACCATTTCTCTGAACGGAAGCCTGATGGGATGCGAAGCAGCAGTGGTGCACACGGCATTGACCCGGTTGAAACGGGGGTCGACGTGGGCACTGGAAGAACGGTTTGAAGCAAAACTTGGTGTAGGCTTTACTCAAGTAAACGTTTGTTTGAAACACAGACAGGGGACGCCGGATGCATTGAAGATGCTTGCGCTCGGCTTCTTTGGCTCGCGTCTCATCGGTGTTACCCGTGCGCCGTCTGTATTCTCGAACGCGATCGGTGTTCTTGACTCGCACCTCGTTGGTGTCCTAAGTCTTCCACTGCTGACGCTTGCGTTCAGCTTCTTTAGCTCGCGCCTCGTTGGTGTTGATGTCGCCATTCGCGAACGCGATCGACTTCGCTAACCCTTGCAACGCCGGCGACAGCCGGTAAAGGTACGCGCACACTGCAATGGCGTCCCGCCCGACGGTGTGATCACGCGGCAAGCAGCAGCGCACTGTTCACATTTTCGGCGCCGCAAGCTTCCTGAGGTGCGCGCGTCAGGTCACGGGTTTTTTCGCTGACAGATGAAGAGAGGTGGCGCGGGTGAGATGATGCCCACGTGAGTAGTGGGCTCGGGCGTTGCGGCAGTGGAGAGGGTGACGCGAGAGAGGGCAGACACGCGGCGAGCACGTGGCAGGCAAGGGAGAGAGATGTCACCGTGCACTGCGAGGAGGGCGCGAGCTACTTGGCACCGCTCCAACACCTGCAACGAGTGGAGCGGTGCAGATGGAGGGACAGTTTTACACAGGCTAGTCAAAAAGCAGCTTCCCATCTATAATTTCTGTGCAGAACATTATGACCCTGTTATTAATCCTTTGTGACGCATGGTTTGGGCATTTAATTAAAAAATAATTATAGCTCTAGTTTTTATAGATATCGAGATACTTTGACATGGGGAGCAACTCTTGCCGTGTCCAATCCTTGTTCATGTCCGATTCGTCGGAACAACTTCAGTTACGCAAAGAGAAAACAAAAACAAAAATGATGAGTCGTGACGTCATGGTGCGCTTGACCGCGTCGCTGCACCGAACCCACCATCATATTCCCAGCGTAAAAAGAAAATAAGTAGGTGAAATGTAGAGTAACAGGACTCGTAAACAAACTTGACAAGTCTGCACGTGGGTACGAGGGTGTTAAGTTGTTTGAAGAGTGCTGCACGGAATGCATACCGACCTTTCAAGGGCGTCAGGCAGGCGGTCGCGTTAAACTAATTCAAGGGCTAACATGATTACTGTCTATGCACGACCTCAGTGATGTGCATTTAAAAGATCCCGGCTGGCAGCATTAGTTAAGGCACAACGCAAATAGTCTTTCTCATTTGTGTCGAGAGTTGTGAAAGCTGCGTGGGGTCAAAATGACATTGCGGGAGAAAGACCAGAAACATGCAGCTCCAGCCAATCAGCGGAGGCTGAATTGGACATGTCCATGGATTGGACACCGCGAGAATAGCTCCCATAATTAAGACATAATTAAGACCCAGCTTGTACTCATCGTAATGATTTAAACTACAGCTGAGATGTAGATGTTATAAGAATTTAATCAGGACTTACACGTAATTTCAATTACAATAAAGATTTCAGTAACATAATAACAAGACTTTTTTATAATGTTTGTTTTATATTACCCTGATCTGTAGAAATCAAAAAGCTCTCTTCTCTTCTTCAAGGGACTACCCGGTGACCAGGCCAAAGACTCCATCACTTAAACAAAAGGATTCTTCAGGGGATGGAGGGTTCAGGTTGGTGCTGGTGCCCCTTCTTTAAAAGCATTGAAGCAGTGTGTAGTTTTGATTCATGTGTAGAAATTACAACCCAAATGGAAATGAATATGAACAAACAACTTGTTGCTGATTTGTGCTCAGCCCACAACTTCCAAGTTATTTGTGTGTTCAGGGCAGGGGCTACTTGCCTATCCACCTTCCTTGGTTTGTATTGTCGACATCAAATGAAGCACTGATAGCGGAACATGTGGCCCAAGTATTAGCAATAGTATAGTGCACTCCGTCCTGTCATCACCACTGACAGGTGCGCACATCCGGTTGAGTAGCACTGCACGATGTTTCTGAAATGCAATATTTTTGCTTGATAGTTCTGATGCAATAGGAACCAGAGTGGCCATGCCAGGCAGTTTTGGTGTTTTTACTTCTAATTTTTTTTATTTTTGCCACCTTTATTTCGAATAACAGAATTGAAACAGGCGAAAATATCGGACTTCAGGGCAATCGCGCAGTGGTGCCAGACGAGATGTGCAGAGCGGACCTGTCTAGCAGCACTGGAGGATGCACATTATCGTTTTTGTAATGCTTGCAGCACACGCTTCGCTGTTCGTGTTTCATTTGACAGTAATTGTAAATGGTGTGTGCGGAATATTTCACCCTGAAAGCATTTGCCAGCGTCCCTGGCAGCACATTTAGAACATCTTACTTGATACTCTTCAGCCTAATGACATTTTCTGTGCCATCGTGACAAAGATGCACAATTTCCCTCCTAAGTGAGCCAAACTGTTGTCTCCAAAATGGAGTGCACAGCCTGATCTTGAAAGTTGTGGCAACAATTGGCGACAATGGAAAACATGCGTGGCAGTAGTATTTTCCAGACATGTGTAATGTGCCTAACAAGGAGGCCTAATAGTTGTACTCGCCAATATCAATATGTATTTGTGAGCTACTTTAGACATTTTAAAACAGCACGGCCTGTGTGCCTGTTTGCTCCACTGTGCTGTGGGTGCAGCATGCCATGAAAAAAAAAAAAAAGAAAACTATGTACCATCTCCGTGAAGGGAACCCTCATGTGTTGCGAAACAGCAGCGGTGCGCATGGCGTTGACCCGGTTGTAACGGGCGTTGACGCGGGTGCTGTAAAAACGGCTTGAAGCGAAACTCCGTGTATTATTTATTATTTAGAAAATACAGCAGGCTAGGAATAGCCCACGCAGGAGTGGGGGTGGTACAGTATGAGGATATGACCAAAAAAAAAAAAAGGATTAATACAGAAGGTACAAACAAAGAGGTAAATATACAACACATTATGGTACAAGATCTAAGTTACTTCAAAAAAGTTTTCAAGTACACCTTACCACGCTTCCAGATTCAAAAATGTGATGTGGTAGTTCGTTCGATTCTGTTAATGTGCGAGGAAAGAAAGAGTATTTGAAATTGTTAGTTCGAGCAAAGATAAGACGAAAGATAGGTAGAGTTTACCCGAGTAAAGGTCTGTTTGAAACGCAAAGACACAGGAGGCTGGACGGATTGAAGACACTTGTGTACGACTTCCTTGGCTCGTGTCTCATCGGTGTTACCCGCGCGCTGTCTGTATTCTCGAACGCGATCGGCGTTCTTGACTCGCACCTCATCAGTGTTCTAGGTCTTCCACTGCCGACGCTTGCGTTCAGCTTTTCTGGCTCGCTCCTAATTGGTGTTGACGTCGCCATTCGTGAAGTGATTGCCTTCGCTAACCCTTCCAACGCCGGGGACAGCCGAGAAAGGTACTCGCACACTGCCAGGAAGCATGCCGCGACAGTGTCTCGCGCGATGGCGCGATCATGGCAAACAGCAGCTCACTGTCCACATTTTCGGCGCCACAAGGTTCTTGAGGTGCACGCGCCAGCTCGCAGGTTTTTTCTCGTTGACAAATGTAGAGAGGTGGCGCGGGTGAGATGATGCCCACGTGAGGAGTGGGCTCGTGCGTTGCCGCAGTGGAGAGGGTGAAGTAACAGAAAGCTGGCACGCAGCGAGCACGCCGCAGGCGAGGGAGAGAGATGTCACGGCGCTTTGCTAAAAGGGCGTGAGCTACTTGGCACCGCTCCAACACCTGCGACGAGTGGAGCGATGCGGTTGGAGGGACAGCGTTACACAAGCTAGTCAAAGAGCTGCTTCCCATACAAAATTTTTGTGTAGAACATTATGACCCTTTTAATTAATTCTTTGTGATGCACAGTTTGGGCATTTTGGTCAAAAATAATTAGAGCTCTAGTTTTTATAGAAATCGAGATACTTCAACATGGGGAGCTATTCTCGTGGTGTCCAATCCGTGTATATGTCCGATTTGTTGGAACGCATTCATTTACACGAAAAAACAACAACAAAGAACAAGAACGGTGAGTGGTGACCTCATAGTGTGTTTGACGATGTCGGTGCACCGAACCCGCATCACATTCCCAGCGTAAAGAGAAAATAAGTAGATAAAATGTAGAGTAACAGGACTCTTAAACAAACTTGACAAGTCTGCTGTCACAGGTACCGTTAATTAGGGAGGCGATCGCCGGGCCAATTCCAAGGACTGAAATATCGGCCCCCCGAACTGCACGACGAAAGCGTGGACAATTTAGAAGTGGTCCTATTTGGCGCGCCAGCGGACGCCGGCTGTGGCCCGAAGAACAAGTCAGAGCCGAGAGTTGATAAACAAAACAAAATTATATTCTCAATTATGGCAGATCAAATCGATACGTAGATATGCATACTCGACCATAGTTGAATACGTTATGTCACTAATCAAACAACGTACTACACAGTACAATCAGCCACACTCGAAACAACGGACACGAACAACAATACGCACTACAATGCAGTCGCACGCATTGAACAACCAAGACACCTAAAGACTAAAGAGTTCGAAAACTTACTTAGTCCAAAGTCCTTGGAACAAAAGTCTGAATGATACTCTTCCGAGAATCACTCACTCAAAGTCCAGCGCTGTTGTCGGTCCGCTGCCCCCGAAGTTTGTCTTCCAGGAAACCTTGCGTCTTCAATTGGCCGCTCTCCAAGCACCAAACTTCTTCGCCGGTAACACGTCGGCTTCCCACACGCAGCTGTTGCCACGCATCTTCGCTCGCTGGCGGTAGACACACACTCCTGCCTGTAGCACGAGTCTTCACCCCTCAGGTGGAAATCCTCTTCTTCTCCTCCTTTGTCACTGAGGACAAAAGGCTTCGCCCACACGGCGGACGCACACTAGTGCAACATTCCTTTTCCTCTGTCACTGAGGACAAAAGGCTTCGCCGACGAGGCGGAACACCCTACGCACACTGGCGTAAAATTCCTTCTTCTCCTGATCTCCCATCTCTGCTGCTTGGTTAAATACCTTCCGTGCTAGATTCCAGAAAATTCTCGTTTCGTCGGCGAAGGCTGGGGAAATCGCGAGACGGTTCGAGGGCCATCCGCGACAGATGACGCAACTCTGCATCACCACGCCCCTTTTCCTCGAGAACCTTCCAGAACTTGCTCGGCCGCCGATGTGAGGAGGTTAGTCGGCGAGACTACGCTTCCTAGGGGGAGAGGGACGGCACACCCTGGGAGCCTTTGGATGATTATTTTCTTCTTTATCGTTGACTTTGAGGTGCCTCTCTGCGCTTATATCGTTACTGTCGCTATAATTCGGTGGCACACGCTTTTTCGGAGCTCTCGTTTGTGACATCTGCACGTGGGTATGAGGGTGTTGAGGTATTTGAAGAGTGCTGCAGGGAATGCATACCGACCTTTCAGGTGCATCAGGCGGGCGCCCGTGTTAAACCTAATTTAAGAGCTAACATGATTACTGTCTATGCATGGCCTCAGTGATGTGCATTTAAAAGAAGATTCCTTGGGGCAGCATTCGTCAAGGCAAAACGCATCTTGTCTTTCTCATTTGCGTCGAGAGTTGTGAAAGCTGTGTGGGGTCAAAATGACATTGTGGGAGAAAGACCAGAAACGTGCAGCTCCAGCCAATCAGCGGAGGCTGAATTGGACGTGTTCATGGATTGGACACTGCGAGAATAGCTCTCATGCTTTATAGTGACCCTGACATAATTAAGACCCAGCTTGTACTCATCGTAATGATCTAAACTACAGCTGAGATGTAGATGTTATAAGAATTTAATCAGGACTTACACGTAATTTCAATTACAATAACGATTTCAGTAACGTAATAACAAGAATTATTTATGATGTTTGGTTTATATTACCCTGGTCTTTAGAAATCAAAAAGCTCTCTTCTCTTCTTCAAGGGACTACCCGGTGACCAGGCCAAAGACTCCATCACTTAAACAAAAGGATTCTTCAGGGGATGGAGGGTTCAGGTTGGTGCTGGTGCCCCTCTCTTTAAAAGCATTGAAGCTGTGTGTAGTTTTGATTCATGTGTAGAAATTACAACCCAAATGGAAATGAATATGAACAAACAGCTTGTCGCTGATTTGTGCTCAGCCCACAACTTCAAAGTTATTTGTGTGTTCAGGGCAGGGGCTACTTGCCTATCCACCTTCCTTGGTTTGTATTGTCGACATCAAATGAAGCACTGATAGCGGAACATGTGGCCCAAGCATTAGCAATGGTATAGTGCACTCCCTCCTGTCATCACCACTGACAGGTGCACACATCCGGTTGGGCAGCACTGCACGATGTTTCTGCAATGCAATATTTTTGCTTGATAGTTCTGATGCAATCGGAACCAGAGTGGCCATGCCGGGCAGTTTTGGTGTTTTGACTTCTAATTTCTTTTATTTTTGCCACCTTTATTTCCAATACCAGAATTGAAACAGAGGCCAAAATATCGGACTTCAGGGCAACCGTGCAGTGGTGCCAGACTAGATGTGCAGAGCGGACCTGTCTAGCAGCACTGGAGGATGCACATAACCGTTTTTGTAATGCTTGCAGCACACGCTTCGCTGTTCGTGTTTCATTTGACAGTAATTGTAAATGGTGTGTGCGGAATATTTCACCCTGAAAGCATTAGCCAGCGTCCCTGGCAGCACATTTAGAACATCTTACTTGATACTCTTCAGCCTAATGACATTTTCTGTGCCATCGTGACAAAGATGCACAATTTCCCTCCTAAGTGAGCCAAAATGTTGTCTCCAAAATGGAGTGCACAGCCTGATCTTGAAAGTTGTGGCAACAATTGGCGACAATGGAAAACATGCGTGGCAGTAGTATTTTCCAGACATGTGTAATGTGCCTAACAAGGAGGCCTAATAGTTGTACTCGCCAATATCAATATGTATTTGTGAGCTACTTTAGACATTTTAAAACAGCACGGCCTGTGTGCCTGTTTGCTCCACTGTGCTGTGGGTGCAGCATGCCATGAAAAAAAACTATGGGAGATAATTTGAACTCCAACCAAAAGTTGTGAATAAATAGACGTTTCGAAACCGACTTGGTTCCTTCCTCAGGGGTGACTGCGGAGACTACCTAGCAGCGGCATCTTCAAAGCACTCACGGCGCGGATAATGACCCCCCCCTCTCTCTCGTTTTGCCGTGGAGTGCAGTCTATGTGTATACACTGGAAGAAGGGTTCCAAGAGAGTGGTTGATGTTATGGGCTGTCCTCTGTATGTGCCACGACTCAAGTAATAACCTTCCCTTCCAGTTCGGCTCGCTTTCATGGATGGCCGTCGCTTCGAAATTTATCTGGTGATTCAACGTCTCAGAATGTTCAACGACTGCGCTGAGCTCTTTGTAGAACTTCCGCACATCGTTGGCCTGTTGCTTCAGTCGTTCCGTTAGGTTTTTCGCCTCGCCGATATACGAAAAGGGGCACTCGGCGCACGGAATTTTGTAAAGGACACCAGGGGTCCTGTCTATTGTTGGCCGGTCTTTCGGGCGAGGGAGGAGGCGGCCCAGCCTACACGAAGGCACGTGCGCGATGCGAACCTCTTCCTTCTTGAAGATACGCGCCAACATCTCGCTGGTTCTTTGAACGTATGGAGTCGGTACACATTTGAGCGGGGCTGCTAATTAAGGTTGATTGGGGTTTTCATATCCTCTGTTGCTCTGCGCAGTGGGTGGCAGCTGAAATGAAGTTTTTTGTGTATCCGTTTTTTCCGGGGTCCGCAATTATGCTGGCCTCTTCTTTCTTCCACTCTGTGTCATTGAAGCATAAGTTCTTAGCTCTCTTGAGTAGCGTGGTCGCAACTGAAGCCTTGTGGCAGGCGGAGGGGGGAAGAATCGAAAAGCGCCGGAGCACTCAGGATGAGAAACTCTCCTACCTGCTGGATTGGAGTTCCACTCAAAGCATCCAAACTTCTAGGTTTGTCACCATTCTTTCATCTCGTCCACTCACTGATCGGGAAACTTCTGTTCTGGCAAAGGGACATGGCTATAATATCTCAACGACGCCTCGTCTGCCCAAACTTGTCACGGCTGTAGAGGAAGCCGTCCAGAGCGTGAGGCCGGGCGCCAGAGAAGAAATTAGGCTGAAATCAATTGGGATCTTTTCGAAATTATCATCACAAAGGAAAAAGAACTTCTCCACAGAGGAGAACCAGGCACTTCGGGAACTCCGACGGGATCGGAGCATTGTCATCTTGCCCGCTGAGTAGGGCAATTCGACAGCGGTGTTGGACGGCAGGGACTACGATCGGAAGGTTTCAGCTCTTTTAGAAGGGAACGCATACACGCAGCTAGTAAAGGACCCAATGAAGCAAACCCAGACACAGCTAAACAAGCCGCTTACGGAAATTTTCAAGCATTACCCGGATCTCAAAACACTTTACCTGCAACTAATCTGCCGCAACGGATGCGAACCGATTTTCTATGGACTACCAAAAATTCACAAGCCTGACGTCCCCTTCCGACCGATTGTAGACTTCACTTCCTCCCCATGCCGAGCCCTTTCAAATTTTCTACACCGAATCTTCGCCCCACTAACCCGGAAGACACCAACTCATGTCCGTGACTCCAGCCACTTCGTGCAGCTAGCGTCAGATGTGAGCATCGACGATGACGAGAGCCTTGTCTTATTTGACATAGTTTCATTGTTCACCAACGTGCCAGTTTCCTTAGCTGTCTCCTCTGCCCGTTCTGTGCTTGAGGGGGACGCAAGCCTGAGTGAAAGGACTCCTTTTGCTGTTGACGAGCTCTGCCGTCTACTGGAGTTCTGCCTGTTCAGTACGTGCTTCTCCTACAACAAAACTATTTTCAGGCAGAGCAGTGGAATCGCGATGGGAGCTTCTATCTCCGTCACAATGGCAAACCTGACCGTGGAGTACATAGAAGAGAAAGCACTCAGCTCCTTCTCGCCGCGACCCAAGCTTTTTCTGCATTATATGGACGATTGCTTTTGTGTCATGAAGGCGTCTGAAGTTGAAAACTTCAGACAACACCTAAATTCTTTGCACTCAGCCATACAATTCACGACCGAGTGTGAAGGCAACTACTGCCTGCCCTTTGTCGACGTCCAGGTGTCAAGAAAGCGCAACAGCCTGGAGCGTGCATAGGAAGCCAACGCGCACTGGTCGCTACCTTCGATTTGATTCTCCCCACCCGGCCTGCCACAAGGACTCGGTTGTGACCACGCTACTCGAGAGAGCTAAGAACTTATGCTCTAATGACACAGAGCGGAAAAAAGAAGAGGCCAGTGGAATTGCAGACCTCAGAAAAAAACCGATACCTAAAAAACTACATTCGAGCCGCCACCCGCCACGCAGAGCAACAGAGTATACGAAAACCCCAATCAACCTTAATTGACAGCCCCCCGAAACGCGTACCGGTTCCATACATTCAGGGAACCAGCGAGATGTTGGCACGGATCTTCAATAAGGAAGAGGTTCGTATCGCGCACATGCTTTCGTGTACGCTGGGCCGCCTCCTCCCCTGCCCGAAAGACCGGCCATCACTGGACAGGACCCCTGGTGTTGTTTACAAAATTCCGTGCGCTGAATGCCCCTCTTCGTATATCGGCGAGACGAAAAACCTAACGGAACGACTGAAGCAACAGGCCAACGATGTGCGGAAGTTCTACAAAGAGCTCAGCGCAGTCGTTGAACATGCTGAGACGTTGGATCACCAGATAAATTTCGAAGCGACGGCCATCCATGAAAGCGAGACGAACTGGAAGAGAAGGTTATTACTCGAGTCGTGACACATGCAGAGGATAGCCCATATCATCAACCGCTCTCTCGGAACCCTTCCCCCAGTGTATACACATAGACTGCGTTTCACGACAAAACTAGAGAGAGAGAGGGGTCATTATCCGCCCCACGAGTGCTTTGAAGACGCCGCTGCTACGTAGTCTCCGCAGTCAGCCCTGAGGAAGGAACCAAGTCGGTTTCAAAACGTTGAGTTTCTTCAAAACTTTTGGTTGGAGTCTAAATCATGTCCCAGTTTCATTCCCAACCAGACAGACTTCTTTCGAATGTTTATATTCAAGAAAACTATGGACCATCTCTGTGAAGGGAACGCTCATGTGCTGTGAAGCAGCAGCAGTGCACACGGCGTTCACCCAGTTGAAAAGGGCGTCGACGCGGGTGCTGTAAAAAGGGCTTCAAGCCAAACTCGGTGTAGAGTTTACCCGAGTAAAGGTCTGTTTGAAACGCAAAGACACGGGAGGCTGGACGCGTTGAAGACACTTGCACACGACTTCCTTGGCTCGCGTCTTATCGGTGTTCCCTGCGTCCCGTCTGTATTCTCGAACGTGATCGGTGTTGTTGACTCGCACCTCATCAGTATCCTAGGTCTTCCACTGCCGACGCTTGCATTCAGCTTCTCTGGCTCGCGCCTCATTGGTGTTGACGTCGCCATTCGCGAAGCGATTGCCTTCGCTAACCCTTCCAACGCCGGGGACAGCCGAGAAAGGTACTCGCGCACTGCCAGGAAGCATGGCGCGACAGTGTCCCGCCCGATGGTGCGATCGCGCGATCGTGGCAAGCAGCAGCGCACTGTCCCCATTTTCGGCGCCACAATATTCTTAGGTGCGCGCGCCAGCTCGCAGGTTTTTCTCGTTGACAAATGTAGAGAGGTGGCACGGGTGAGATGATGCCCACGTGAGGAGTGGGCTCGTGCGTTGCAGCAGTGGAGAGGGTGAAGTAACAGAGCTGGCACGCAGCGAGCACGCTGCGGGAGAGAGAGAGGTCACCGCGCACTGCTAGGAGGGCGTGAGCTACTTGGCACTGCTCCAACGCTTGCGCCGAGTGGAGTGGTGCGGTTGGAGGGACAGCATTACACAGGCTAGTCAAAGAGCTGCTTCCCATCTAAAATTTTTGTGCAGAACATTATGACCCAGTTATTAATTCTTTGTGATGCACAGTTTGGGCGTTTTGTTCAAAAATTATTGCAGCTCTAGTTTTTATAGATATCGAGATACTTTGTCATGGGAAGCTATTCTCCCGGTGTCCAATTCTTGTACATGTTTGATTAGCGAGGACACGTTCAGTTGGGCAAAAAAGGGTGAGTCGTGACGTCATGGCATGCTTGGCCATGTCAGCGCACCGAACTTGCCATCACATTTCCAGCGTAAAAAGAAACTAAGTAGATGAAATGTAGAGTAACAGGACCTTCGGACAAACTTGACAAGTCCGCACGTGCGTGTGAGCGTGTTGAAGTGTTTGAAGAGCGATGCAGGGAATGCGTATTGAACTATCAGAGGCGTCGGGCAGCCGTGTTAAACCTAATTCAAGAGCTAACATGATTACAGTCTATGCACGGCCTCTGTGATGTGCGTTTAAAAGCGGATTCCTGGGGGCAGCATTCGTTAAGGCAAAACGCATTCTGTCTTTCTCATTTGTGTCGAGAGTTGTGAAAGCTGCGTGGGGTCAAAATGACATTGTGGGAGAAAGACCAGAAACAGGCAGCACACTGCAATGAATCAGGGGATGTTGAATTGGACATGTTCATGGATTGGGCTTTGCGAGAATAGCTCTCATAATTAATAGTGACCCTGACATAATTAAGACTCAGCTCGTACTCATCGTAATGATCTAAACTACAGCTGAGATGTAGATGTTATAAGAATTTAATCAGGACTTACACGTAATTTCAATTACAATAACGATTTCAGTGACGTAGTAACAAGAATTTTTTATGATGTTTGGTTTATATTACCCTGATCTTTAGAAATCAAAGAGCTCTCTTCTCTTCTTCAAGGGACTATCCGGTGACCAGGCCAAAGACTCCATCACTTAAACAAAAGGATTCTTCAGGGGATGGAGGCTTCAGGTTAGTGCTAGTGCCTCTTTTTTTAAAGGGTTGCAACTATGTGTAGTTTTTATTCGTCTGTAGAAATTACAACTGAAATTGAAATGAAAATGAAAGAACAACTTGTCCCTGATGTGTGCTCAGCCCACAACTTCCAAGTTATTTGCATGTTGATTACCACCTTTAATAAGAGCAGTGGCTGCTTGCCCATCCACCTTGCTAGGTATGTACTATCGTGATCAAATGAAACACGAACAGTGGAACGCGTGGCCCAAGCATTAGCAACAGTATTGTACACTACGTCCAGTCATCACCACTGACGCCCGGCTGACCGCAAGAGAACATCTTTTGCCCAAATGCAGGTACTCACTCAGCTAGCTGCTTGTTACACCACAGCGTGTAAGTTTGCCACTGTTGCCTGACTCTCAGCCGCTCGTGCTGTGTTAAAAATATTCTATTGCTTAATGAAATGTGCGAAAATTTCACCAGCTTACTGTGAACGCACAAGGATTTACCCACGTAACACAGTATATGATGAAATTTGGGCATCATGCCCCTTTAAGAGAATTTAAAGAGAGTCTCTGGCCCAACCTTTTTGAATTTATTGGAAGCAAAAAAAAAGGCCGCGTATGGGCATGCTTTGCAGCAAATGTCGTCAAAAGGCGATCCTTTGTTGCCCGTACTACATGAGTGCTGGTCTCATCCGCGGCCACCCATGATTCTGTTCTCGTACGATTTCTGTCTTGCCAGGTACAGCACCATATTATCGGCAGAGGGCTTTTTCATGCATAGCGACGTATTTTTAGTTCAGTGTGAGATAGAGTCTTTAGAATTACATATCTATGTATTTTCTACTAAATGAACACACCACCTAATACTTGCGTATTTATTTTCCATCTAAGATATGTGTAATATTTGCTTTTTGATCGACAATGTTCACAAGTATGGACGCAGCCACCTGTTTAAGATGGCTGGGAGGTTGAATCATGCGACAGACAAAGATATACAGACCAAAATTTCTGTGTTCAAGTATCTCGAGAAATACTATCATCTGTGAAAACAAGATACGAACAGCCACAGCAGGTCTTTTCTCTACATTTTCTATGGAGTAAGTGCACATCAAGCACTTGTAGGTGGTGCCAGTTGCCACAGAGACTGAGAGATTTGTCGAGTTCACTTTTTTCACTGATTCGAAGCACAGATGCGATCGTTCAGGTAGATTGCAAGTATGTGGCACCTTTTTTGTGGTTGCAGCTTGCGAAGGGGCGGTTGTTTTTTAATAAGATTTATTTATTTATTCAAATACCTACGGCACCCAAGGGGCATTATTGTATGGTGGAAAAAAAAAATAATACATTACAGGTGGTGCACAACATCAAGAGCTAACATGACAAGATCAGCAATGTGTTAAGATTACGGATTACTTGGTACATGTACGTTCTAAACAAATCACTCGAAAAATATACGGCGTCAAGCCTAGAACAGTACATTACCACAAAACTGCAAAAAAGTAAAAAAGGACAAAAAAACACACAGACAAACTTATTCATTGCCTTACAGAGGTGACGTGATACCTAGTGGAGCAAAACTTCAGCGTGGGCACTGTCGAAGGAACTAATTGGCTACGAGATAACCTCCTTCAGTAGGCTCGAATGTTCTTGGAAAAAAAGGAATGCTTAGATATGCTAATGCGACAGCTATATTCTCTCACCTTCAGAGAATGATAACACCGGGCTGAACTATATGTAGGATTGAAATCACATGTTTCCTTCCTAATTCCTGTAGCTCCAATGTAAATTTTTTGAAAGCGCTTTAGGCGTATGTATTTTCGTCTATTTGCAAAGTCGGCCGTCCAAGATCAGCTCCTATATCAGTGGAGCTTATTAAAAAGCCGTAGTTTGAGAAAACAAACTGTGCTGCACGCTTCTGAGTGTGTTCTCATTCGGCAATGCAAGTCTTTGTACCTGGGTCCCTTGAGGAACATCCGTATTCTACAGTAGTGCGCACGCTTGAAACGTAAAGAGTTTCTCTCAACTTAGGAGGAGCATTCTCGAAGTTTCGCTTTAAGAAGTTGACAATTCGGCCAGCCTTGGCTGCTACATAGTTAATGTGGTCCTTCTATAAAAAATCATACTTATACGAAACACCTAAATATTTGTCATTTGAATCATCGACAGGTTTTCACCGTCAAGACAATACATACTATAAAAAATGTGACGTTTGTTAGTAAACTGGACAGCTTTGCACTTAGCAAAATTCAGCCTCATATTCCATCAAAGTCACTTTGTTACTGGACACTGTCACTCGGGAAAATAATTTCGCGGTAAAGACAAAAGTTGTCGGCATACAACCGGAGATGACTTGACACCTGTTCACCTATATCATTAATAAATATTAGAAAAAGAAGCAATGCCAGAACGGATCCTTGGGGGACACCTGATAAGACTGTTCTATAGGATGAACTCATCCAGTGAAGAACAGTACACTGTTTTCGGTCAGCAAGATAAGCCTCAATCCAATGCAAAAGAACCATAGGAATATTTAGTGCAGACAGTTTTAGTCAGCAACAGATTATGTGTTACAGAGTCAAAAACCTTTTGAAAATCTAAAAGGATACAGTCAACCTGTTTACCGTTATTAAATGATAAGGCTATAGCATGAGAAAACTCAACCAATTGCTTGTCAGAAGATAGTCCCCTCCTGAAACCATGCTGTGCTGAAAAAATTTTCTTCAAGATGAGCCATCAAGTTGGAATCATGTGCTCTAATGTCTCACACGACACAATAGTAAGTGAAATGGGTCTGTAGTTTCTGGTTTTTGTGTTATCACCGCTTTTGAAAACAGGAATACATTTTCAATATGCTACATTTGCAATTGTGTTTGAATTTACAGTTTTTGTATATGCCAGCTGTGAAGAGAACTTTCAGTATGCTCTTGGGTGCGTCTGTTCTTTCAATGGGATTCGATAGCAACTCTGTCTGGTGCAATGGGTATGTGGTGTATGTAAATGACAATGAGCAAATGGTCATCCAGCGACTCTTGACAGCTGTTTAGACAATTAGGGCTTTGTGCAGGATGCAAGAGCTTGTAAATCCAGCAAACTCTTTTTACTCATCATTATAGTGCTTATTGCAAGGAGGCTGTCTTGCAGATGATAGGTGATGGGTCTGAAAAACCTGACTCTAATACCTTTATATGTTTCCTGGCTTCAGTATAAGAAGAGCTTAAACACTTTATGCCAAAGGAATAAAAAATGGCAGATCCCACATGCAGTGGAAATCGATTATATGCGAAGTACGAATGAGGAAGGTTTATACCGGACTCATTGTATAATTGGCACACTTTTTCTCACGATTCAAGGGCCCAGAGAAGGGGGTGTGCAAATTACGCAGGGATTTTGCTAGTGCTTATACGAAATATTGTGTCACAGTCCTAATGCGCGCAGTATATACATAAAAAAAAGTAAACTGGAGCACAAACGAAGCATACTTGTTAATTTAAAAGAATTAGCTGGTACTTTAACCAGTCAGATCTGATCACGCGGGACTTTGTGTGAATCGCTGATTGCGAAGTTCGATTGGAAATTAATCATCGTTGCGGCTGCTGTCACCGCGCTCCCAAAGCGCATTGTCCTCGGTTCCGTCGAGTGCATTCAAATGCCCATTTTCTTGAAGCTCTTCTCAACAATGCTGGGAGAAACTAGGTCCCATGACATGGTGAACTGGAAGACCTAAGCATCAGAACACGATTGAACAGGCCTTGTTCAATGGCAGAAAACTTGCATTAGCAAGCGCGCACATTTTCTGCTTTCTCGCGTACCGATCACGCCGATCGTCACACGTTGAAGTACTTCACCTTCAAGTGCTTGACGTCGCCATGATTGCCGCTTCCTTCGACATAGCAGGGGAGCCATAAAAACGCGTCAGCCGGATGGTGAAACCTAAACTTCCGATATCAACCAAGCGTGCGGTGTAGCTCGGAAGCAGAGAACGACGGGGGACAGTCAGCTCGGCAGGCCCTCGCACACCCCTGATGCTGAAATTTGTCCGTGCCGTGGCAAGAGCGTAAATTCTCGTGGTGAAAGAATGGGCAGAAGCAAGCGCTCGAGCAGTTACGGCGACCCCTTTTTGTACGGCATTCTAGGGACTTTGGTTCGGGGAAAGTCCTCGGAAGGGACTTCGCACACGCAGCCCGTTTGATTGTGCTTGATTGCTCGGAGAGGCGCAGCGCCCGTCCGAGGCGTCAAAAGATCCTAATTGTCTTCGCGTGCGCGCCGGTCAGCTGGCATGGGCGAGTGGGGGAGCGCAAAATATGCGGCTAAATATTTATTTTTAACAAAGCTGGCTAAATATTAGGGGTGTGCAAGTTATGCGAGGGCGCAAATTATGCAAGTAAATATGGTATCTTACTTTCAAAATGAGAATAACATTACGAGGGGGACGTAAATTATGCTGTACATGACTTCGATGTCATGATTATCATGTTTGCACCTGGTGTTTTTGTTCGTCGTCCATTCACGTCGCGTAATACCAAATGCGGTATATATGAAGCTAGCTAAATGGCTGGGAGCGGGCTATGAGAGTAGCTTGCAGTCATGTTTTGCATGACATGCATATCATGATTATTTTGTTTGGACGTTTCATTTACCTTCTTCGTCCATTCACGCCATGTAATACCAAATTTGGTGTATAAGAAGCTAGCGAAACGGCCACAAGCGCACTATGAGCATAGCATGTGGTCTTGTTTTACATGACAGTGCATGTCATGATTATTATGTTTGGACATTAATCATATGGTGGTTTTGGGACATTAAACCCAACATATCAATTGTCATGTTTGGAGGTGTCATATACCTTCATTGTTCGTTCGCGTCACGTAATACCACATTTGTTTATCTGAAGCTAGTGAAACGGCTGTGAGTGCATCATAAGCGTGGTATGTAATTTTGTTCTTACCTGACACGCATGTCATGATTATCACGTTTGCACCAGTCATATATCCTCATCATCCATTCACGTGACGTAATACCGAATTTGGTGTATGTGAAGCTAGCGAAACGACCACGAATGCATCATAAGCGTGGCATGTAGTCATGTTCTTACATGACATGCATGTCATGATTTCGACGTAAGGGCCTGTCACTTGTGTTTGCCATGCAGTCATGTCATACCATAGGTACCAGTTTTGCGATATGTCATGTGTACGAAACCATCGCACGAGCAGCAAGGTCATGACATACATGTCATAATTTTCATATTATGTCTAGTCCCTTGTGCTAGTCGTACAGTCATGTTATGCCATACCAATTTTGATATATATCCCACTTTCGAAACGGCCAAGAGAGCTAAAAGTCGTAGGCGGCTAGATAGATAGATATGTTCAAAGTCGCCAAAGTTCGCTAAGAGATGCTTTGCATTCAAAAAGTTGCTCTTTGGCAATGGCTGAAAATTGTGTTTGTATGTCTTTTATAGTTTATTCGTATTCAGTGAAATAAGGTATTGGATCTTGGGCAATTTTCACTTGAGGTGCCAATGAGCAGAGACAAAATAGTGTAAACCATGAGTTTAACATTTATTTGTTCTGTGACTGTTACAGGGCTCAGTTGCTGGAGCTGGCATTGAAGGAGAAACAGAAGCTAGGCCTTGATAAGTTGGATTCACCCCGAAGCTCTAGTTCTGCACTGAAGGCGATTCAAGGATACTCGGGGACACGGTCACCAGAGGAGTCTGACCATGAAGAGGAGCCAATTGCACTCGACCTGTACGATGACTTGCCAAAGCCATTGTTTCCTATATCCACCAAAGGCAGCGCGGAATCTATGTGGGAGAATGCAGGAAGCAAGCAAGGATCCTCCTTGAATGCACGGAAGAAGCCCATCGACGACATCTTTGACGATGTTGATGAATATCACCCACGCCATGATGACTGGGATGACCGTAAGGACGACCGCAGAGATGACCGCAGGGACAATCGCAGGGATGGGAAAGGTGGGGGCCAACATTTTGATAACCGCCCCGATTCACATCCAAACATGCATCGCTCTGACTCACGCATCGACTTATATGAAGACTTGCTGTCGGAGGGCCGCCCTAGTTCACGGACCGAATCGAGGCGTCACCCGGAAGACAGCAAAAGCAAACGGCAGTCATCCTCATTCATTCCAGGTCTGGGTATCGATGAGAACATTGACGATGAAGATGCATTTCTTTACGGTGACGAGGCCCTGACCTCTGGACGTACACCATCTAGGCCAGAGAAGCGTCCTACACAGGAGAAGCAGCCTTTCGTGGAGGAGAGAAAGAAATCTGCTTCGCAGGATTCATGGATGCAAGCACCACAGCGATTTGGGGGAGGCCCTTCCTTCACCGGAGGATTCGGACCTGACCATCGATTTAAAGCTTCCATTCGACCGCCGCAAGACTGTCGAGTCACTACGACCCGGAAAGGAATTTCCAGACAGTAGGGCGCAACACCAGGAGCAACCTGCTCCTCAACGAGGTGGCCGACGGGGTGTGGATCGTGTTGCAGACGAACCATCGCCAATGGACTCGTGGAAGGCGTCGCAGCGGCACAGGACTCCATCACCCGAACAGAGCTCGCCACCGGTGTCGAGAACAACAAAGCAGTCAACGAAAGAGCCGATGCTGGGATACAGTTCCATTGAGTCCATGAAGCAGGAGCTTCGCGAGCTTAAGATGATGCTGAGTAGAGAGAAGGAAGCCAAGGAGGAAAGTTACGAGCGCAAGAGGCCGAGGACGCCGTCCGACGCGGGCTCTTACAGTCGCGGAGGGCGCAGTCCGAGTCCAATCAAGCGCCGCCGAGAGAGCTACTCCCCGGTCCATCGGCGACGTGGGCGGAGTCCCATTGACAGCTACCGACGGCCGTCGCCCCCTTCGTACCGCCGAGAACGGCGCGAGAGCCCCTATTATCGTGGTGCCGCGACGCCATCTGCCCGCCGATACTCTCCATCTCCGGGCCGCAGTCTCTCGCCGTCTTCGGACAGGTCCATGGGGAAGCGCTGGTCGCCGAGCCCACCACCTCGCACACCACGGCACCGAAGGCCAGAGGCGCGAACTCCGGGTCGTCGGTGGAGTCCCGAGAGCCCACCACCTCGACCACGGAGGAGCAGCATGGAGCGAACACCCAAGCATTCGTCGTCGCAGGCAGCCTACTACCAGGGCTCTTCGCAGTCTGGCCAGCAGCCCTCGTATTACGACAGCAGCCAGCCTTCGGGGCCACCATTAGTGCCACCACCAAACTTGTCCGTACCTCCGCCTAACTATCCCATGAATGCAGCTCCTCCGCAGGCTCCATACTTCGCAGGTTATCCTCCCCCTGCGCAAGCTCCACCAGACTTCTCTTACCCACCTCCATCAGCGCAGCAACAACAGACGGGACACCGCTCCAACCTTCGTGTCGTGCCACTTCAGAGCGTAGACAATGCTGTCAAAGAAGAAAGATCCTTTTCGCCGGTAAACATCAAGCAGGAGGAGAAAGTCATTCCGAAGAAGCTGCAGCCGGTGGCCCAAGAGGAGATTGACAACTACCTGAGTCTAGTGGAGGCAAAGGACAGCCACCGAGAAAAGCTGAGCCTTCTGAAGCAGGAACTGGTCCGCATCAGCAAGATCCAGAATGAGTTGATGCGACGGCGGCAGCACAAACGGTGAGTCCGGCTTTTGCCTCTTTGAATGTGAGATGTACTTGCAGAGCTGCCGCTTCTGAGCAGCTTGAGCTGTGTTAGCAGAATGGCTACACTGTAATGTGCTTGGTATGATTTTATAAGTATTGTTAAGGCTGTCTGGTTAGTACCAATTGGCGCATTGACGGCTGAAAGCCAGACGACAAGACACACATGTCAGTCCTCTTCATGCCTCATCTGTTTTGACCTTGCTGAACAATTCTGTCACACAAACGCAAGGGTAATGAGCTTCAAAATAAGCTTTTGGTTAGGCTGATCATGCATTTTCCTTGTGTCTATTTTGGTGAGCCTTGATGTGCTGCTGTTATCAACTGCAGTAAAACCTCTTCAATTCGAACTCAGTTATCTCGAAACCCCACTTCATTCGAAATATTTCTATTTCGCAATGTAAGTCAGAACGAATAGTTTGAAGCGGCGGTCAGCACCAGTCTGTTTAAATGTGAAAACTTTGGGTGTCATGTGCTAATTCCTGATCCCGATTTCGCCACAAATTTGCGTAAACGACGACCCTTAGAGGTCACAAGGCCGCACAACGCAGTGATGCTAGTGAGTGGCAGCTTAAGCACCCCACCCTCGCCACTTCCAGCTCAAAAAAAGAAGAAAATTATAAAAAAAAAAACAGTGTCATAGTCAACTGAAATATGCGCCTCACGAGCTCAAACAAGGTTAGCACACGTGAAATAAGGTTTGGGTTTGCAGTCGGGAGAACATGTAGCCTTGACAACTATGCCTGCCAAGCTTGCAAGTCCTCCTGCTGGTGTCAAACACATTCATCGCAAAGTGTTTACATTTGCGGAACAGCGTAATCATTGATAGTGGAATAGAGATTGCACATGCGATACTTGAACTTTGCGACAACGTAAGTATTTTTTAGACAAAAAGCCGAACAGAGGTATCGTGCACTTGACATTGGACGCGGGTGCCTGTTTGGTGAAGATCGCACGCATAGAACATGTGGCAGGCGGTCAGAGAAAAAGCTTGTTGGTGCCTGAACAACCCTTCATCGTGCCGTGGGCCTGCCACACCACGACGCTTCTGAATGCGTTATGCGAGCATTGAGGTGCACCATGCGAGATTTTCTTTTGGCTTTGCGCTATAAGATGGTATAAAACGATTTAATACTCTCAATTTTATTTCAACAACCAGTATGTGTGGTCTAATAGTTTGCACAGGCACAGAACGGTGGGTTATCACAATGTTGTGGCAGATGGTCAGAATTATCCTTAGTGACGGAGATTACTTAGAGTATAGTTGTTTCATCTGAGACACTGGAATTTATTATATAAAGTGTGTGTTTTCTATGATCAGTTGCACGGGTGCAAATTATCCTTTTAGTGGCATGACAACGCACCACTCACTAATGTGTTTTCCAACGTCACTTGCCATGGCCTATATAATTTTGCATTTAGCCAGGCCTACTCGCACTTTGAGCATTAACAGGCGGCAAGATATTGCCGAATTTTTGGCGCATAATTTGCCCAATTAGAACTGACGAAGCCTGCCAGCGAACAAGGCATTGTTTAATTGAAAACAGGGGCAATTACACGAGTGGGCCTATGCTCTAATCTGAACTGCCCACTTCTTGCTTGCTTTTATTTTTTTATCCAGGAAATTTTTATAATTTGGGGAAGTTTACAATTAACTTTCTTGAGAGTGCAGAAAATATAAAATTAATTTGAGTAACCTGAAGGAAACTAGTATTTCAGCACAATATCCAGTACAGACCCATTGTAAGAGTTGTTCGCACAATTTATTATTTGTTTAAAACAAATTTTCAACGAAATGACACCCACTGGACAAATTTGTTGGCCAGTCGCTTCGGCTCACTTGGGTTCCCTTGGCACGTGTTGTGCAGTTCATGGAAAAGTTACTGTGAAGAGATTTCATATAACATGGGCTTAAAATGCTAGGGATGGAATAAATTATGGCATGGCCTGTGAATGTGTTTCTAAACTGAGAGCGTAAACATTGGAGCAGGGAGAGCATAGACTAATAGCAAAGCATAATGAATGAGTAGAGTATTAGAAGAAGGATAAAATTTGCTTTTGTTGGGGTGGGTAAGCATGGATTATTATGATGTATCTTGCAGTTGTAGTTAGAAAACTAGTATTATTGTGAGATTAAAACAGCCTACTTCTTTGGTTAGGTTTTTGCTATGAAGGGTTGCTGCACTGTAGGAATTTCCTTTCTCTTTTATGTCGCACGCATCAGTTGTCACTGTAGTAACATGCGCTAGACATGTACTTTCAATAACATAGTGTAGAAATACTGCTACAGCCTTGGTGGCCACTGCGGCAGTTTCGCAGAGATCAATGTCTGGCGTAAGACTTTGTCAGATCAATGTCTGGCGTAAGACTTTGTCACCTGCATTACAGCAAACACATCACTTGATGTGAAGACATGTGACGCTGTAAAAAGGCACCTATGTCGAATAAAGCTCAGTTGGTAGCTCAGCAGTTCAGCACTGGTCTTGTTGTTTTTTTTTTGTCTGTCCTGTTTTTTTTTTGTTTTTTTTTGTGCTGGTGAATGTGGCAAACATCAATTGCTCGTTAACGGAGTGTACGCTGCAGTAGAATGCTCTGATTATTATAATTAGCAGTTTTCGGCCTGTTCATACAGTGTTTGACTGTACTTAGAGTCACTCAGAAATGACGCCTTTACACGAGTCTGTGCTATTTGGGTGTTTCGGCAGTTGGTTTAGCACCCATGCTTCACCAAAGTTCACCCTGATATGTCAAAGCTGGTGGCAGGGTTCGTAGCCTCGCTACAATTTTCGGGGTGTGGTGGTTTGTTGGTGCTCTGTTGAAGGGATGGCCACAGGGATCCCGCGCTGCTGGAGAGCAGCAGCATGTACGAAGACGTAAAGAAGCAGGTGATAGAGGTCAATGGCCAAATGGAAGAGGTGGCACGAAAGATCTTCAAGGTTTCACAGCGTGTCAAGATGGAAGCCATTGCCTACAAGAAACAGCAGGAGGAACAGGTGAGCTCATTGTGCCAGTGTTCTTTCACTTTCAAAACTTTTCTCGCATCTCAGGCAAAGGGTAACTAATGTGAAACAAGGAATTGGTTTTCATTGATACCCTGAGAACTCTGTCATTAACTAAAGAAACAAAACGCTTTTTCATGTACTAGTTAAGTACAATTTTGCAATCTCGAAAACACCACTCTTACCGGGACATGACACTTGGCAAGTGAAAAAACGTGCGAAAATGTGCTGGTGGCAACGCCACCTTGACATTCTCGCACCAAGCACCGTGACTTTGGAAATTTTAAAGGCATCTACTAGGGTCCTACGTAGCTTCCAATCGATAAAAATGATGTACATTATAATCTGTGGGTGCCACAGACACAAATTTCAGAATATTTCATCGAGCCAATGCCACAAAGATACCAAACAATTATATTGAAATTTAAAAATGAAACTTCAAAGTTTACTTTTTTTTAATAATAAACTTATGACAGTGAAACATGTGGCATTGCAGCTCTCACAGTACAGTTTGTAAATTTAAATCAAGTCATTGTTTTTCTTTAGTATCCCTTTAAACAAACTTTTCAGACCCCTTTTATGACAAACTGTCGATAGTTGCGTCAAGTCGTTCCATCATTACTTAGAGCACATGCATGGGCACGGGGAAGGTTGGAGGGGGGGGGGGTCAAATCTCATTCAACCATTGACCAATAGGGGAGAAAAAAGGCTGGAATGACCCTCTTCCCCCCTCTCCTTCCCGAAGGGGATCCTTGCACGCACTTTAAGGTACTCTATATACTATTGTAATAAAAGTAATGTTGTAATACACTCATTTATATATATCATTATAATTATTCCCAATTAAACTATATATAAATATATGTATTCTAAAGTCATTCATGCGTTTTATTCATAATTAGAAGCAATGGAGCTAGAAATATAGCGCAAATCTTTTTTCTTTTTTTTTTTTCTTTTTTAGTGATTTTGACCAAAGAAAAATTATACTTTTCACGGGGCTTTTGGGAAGGGTACTTCAAAGGCCTCATTGAACTTGGTATTGCCTTCATCAAAGTGATCGTACATAACAGTGCACTGAAAAATGAAGCTATACGAAGACGCATTTATTACACAGGAGGCTCAATTAATCTAAGCGTCAATGTGTCTGACTCTCTCTTGGCCACTAGTCAATACAACTAACATAAGAAAGTAGTGTGCACAATTGTGTACATAGCATCTTGAAGGGTTAATGTAACTGTCATAGCTTTATAATAGAGGAGAAAATTGAGGTTAATGTTTCATTTTTGAATTTCGCATCAAGGTATCGGTACAGGGCGTGGCGATTTCAAAAGTTTTTTTTTATTTTGGCAACATATTGGCTGAAATGAAATTTTCCAAAACTTTATACGTCGTTGTTTTGGCCCCTCAGATAATGTATTTCATTATGTGCACATAACACCTCTTAAAGGGGAATGACTATTGCTGTAGCTTAGTTAGTAGAGCATTTGACGGTCCAGTTTTGGTCCCTAGCAACAAGTAAATCCACTTCGCTTTCTTCCCATTTACTACAAATAACATCCTCTACTTTAATATCCTATACATAACATCCTCTTCGCGATATAGCCACCAGCGGCAACAGTGAATAGCCCCGCCGCGGTGATCTAGTTGGTCTAGTGGCTAAGCTATACTTGGCTGCTGACCCACAGGCCGCGAGATCGAATCCCGGCTGCGGCAGCTAAATTTCTGATCGAGGCGGAAATGTTGTAAGCCCGTGTGCTCAGATTTGGGTGCACGTTAAAGAACCCCAGGTGGTCAAAATTTCCGGAGCCCTCCACTACGGCGTCTCTCGTAATCATATGGTGGTTTTGGGGCGTTAAACCCCACATATCAATCAATCAATCTACTTTTTTCTTGGCTTTCTTGTCTGTTAGCTCTAATTAGTGCTGTGTCTAAATAGATAAAGGAAGCATAGAAGATGTGAACACAAAAAGTTTTAGCATTACCAACGTGCCCCTCTGGAATCTGCGTACGTCAAAGCCGCCATTGGATCTTCGTTTTTCACCCGTTGCTCATATAATCATGACATCAAATGTCTTTCACCTACTTCCTGTTATTTGGTACTATGTCCACAGTGTCGGTAGTTAAACTTGACCGTACTTATGCATTGCTAGGCCAGAATCAAAGTGAGGGGACAACGGGTGAAAAGTTATCTCCAACAACAGTAGCCATGGTTACAAACAAACATTGTCCCAAAGCATCTTTGTGCCTTTTGACTAAGCTGAGGGTTACAAGTAGCTATGCTTTAGATGAGTTATAATGGGGAACCTGTTTGCGCTATTGTTACTGTCACATTGTGGTCATGTTCTGGCACAAAGAAATGTAGGAACAATGAAGCAAGACATATTTTTGAGCTAGTTGGTTCATAGATTTAGCAAAATTCTAAACTTCACTGGAAGACAGGGCGAAGGCAGGAACACAAATACTCCTTACGTACAGCGTGTGCTTCATTTGTGCGCCTGTGTACCTATTTTGTCGTACATTTTTTGTCTAGTTTAGAATTTTGCTCACATCAGGAACATAATTTTCTAAAATGGAAAGGGCTTGTGCTAAACTGTGTAGTGGCTGAAAGTGGGCTCATTAGGTGCAAGGCAACACACCAGCTTTTGTTTTCTTGGACTCTTTTGCAATGTGCGCAAGATATTTTTTTTTTTGCACTTGTCTTGTTTGTATCTAACTAGAATTTCATATATTCTTTATTTCACCAAGCATACTTTACACTGGCATGGCAACTTGTGGGTTGGTAACATTTACAAAACGGAAGAGCTGACAGTGATATAGCTTGCTGTCGAAGGGCTAAGATTTGCAAAGCTTTTGCAACGACAACCGAAGTCGCACTGTACAAGCCAAACCTGCATATATTAAACCCCCATATATTGAATTGTTGTGCATATTGAACACTTGTAAAATCCTCTTGAAATGATTTTCTTACATAAATTAGTTTGTATATTGAATTATTTTTATATACAGGGTGTTTTTTATAGACAATACAGGTTTTTTTTTAATAAAGATTTTATAGCAGTAAGGCTCCTGTAATTTTTGCTCACAAACTCCCGTTGTGGCAAAAATACTTCACTGCAGTTATAATGATGCTGCTGTACCTAATTAATCACAGCACATTAACCTTTTAATCATTAACTTGAGGGCAGGTCTCTACATTGCATAGTTTCTGCATGCCAATTAATAGCATACACATTTTTTTCAAACATAAGTCGCACATACTTTGAGATATTTGTCATTGAATTTTTAAGGCGACAATGAAACTGATCACGCTTGGCAGGCACGAAGCAGGACCATTTTGTTACGTCATATGAGAAATACCCGTGACAAGGGAGTGACATAATTTGAATGAAGGCATTCTCATGAATGTCCTTTTGAAAAGCTGCAATTATCTCACTTGTGCCGGCACATCATCCACTTTTGTACGTAGTGTTTGGTGCTTATCCGTTTCTTTCAAACTGATCACAAGAAAACCGCAAAATCAACCTTTTCATTATCTAGGATGTGTAAAACTCGGCGACCACCACTACAGCATTTCTTGCAGACATGCAGAGTAGCTTTGGCCACGGCTTGCAAGACTAAGTTGTTTACTTGTATTGAACCCTTATATGCCTGAATTGTGAGACTGCCAAACAAAATTAAAAAAATATTTTCATTTTGCAGCTCTAAACACCAACCCTTTAATGATTTCGCAGTTAAATTATCTAAAAAAAGTCACAGCTTTGCTACAAAGGCGAAGCTATGAACGCGATAGCAACCAATTGGAAGGTCACACGCAGAACGGCAAGCAGATCGAAACGTACTCACAGGTGCAAATGAACGCGAATAAGGATCTCAGCTGTTACTTCGCTTTGTCTGAAAAGCGTGCCTTTTTTGCAAAGGGAGGCTGTGCGACGATTGCATTGACCTTTTTGCGCCCCGTAACCACAACAGAATCGTTCCAGTCAAGCACAACGCCATCCAAAGCGTAAGATTCTCCCCACCAGGAGATAAGGCCAAAGTACAGCGAGAGAGATAAGAGGTGCCTGGCGGTCATTGCGACATCTTGCTGATAATGATGAAAACAGGATAGTTCCCCCCCTCCCTGAGATGCCCGCAAACAGCGGTAAGTGGTAGATATAAATATCTTGCCGTTTGAACCTTAAAGGAGGTGCCCCTCGGTGGCTCAGTGGTTAACGCCTCGCATTTACGACGCTGAGGTCCCACGTTCGATTCCGTGCGCTGGAGTCTTTCTCTAGATTTTTTCTTTGTTGCATTTTCATATATTAGATACATATACATGTACGGTGAGTGACGGCTGCAAAATCCAGCTGAGTGTGTCCATATAATTGCTATCACAATAAAATGCACCTTTAATGCATACTTTATTGTATGTCATAAATTCTCCACGTGCCACAGAAGCGACCACTTTGCTACAAAAAACGTTCTTCAATACTATGTAACATGTCTCATTCCTCCTCTTGGGTGCGTGCACATCAAATGAACAAAATTATTGAAGATAAAGCTTACGTAACCCAGGTGAGAAAAAACAAAAAAATAAAAGCTGTTGCATGCGCTTCGCACTCTTTGCCACTAGCTACTAAATTGGTTTTAGCGTAAAATACCTTAGATGAGATGCTAGCTTTTTCATGCTGAAAGCTACATTTCTTATTAGTGCTTGACAGCTGGCACTAAAGGCATTTCCTGACTTGCTCGAAGTTTTTTCGGTATGTCAGGAATTTGTGACACTCGGCAGTAAAGGGTTAAGAATGCTTGCAGATATTTCGAACTAGCTTCTGCTTCAGTGGCTTCATTCGAATTTGATCACTTCTCTGTCATCGGTTGTTCCAGTGTTCCGCTGCACTTTGTGTGCACTAGGTATGATCAGTTTTGACTGATTATGCCCTTGAAATTCTATGATGAATATCTCGGAAGTACATGCTACTTCTGTGATTTCTGAAAAATAGGTATGCCATGAATTATCATGCACTACGACTTTCTAACATAGATAACTGAAGTCAACATAATAATTGAAAAGGTTATTAATGAGCACTTGTTAATTAGTTTTGTCAATGTTCTTTTAACTGTGAGAAAGTATTTCTGCCTCGACATAGACTTAATGTGTGAAAACAATAGGAGCCCTACTATGACAGATTTGTAAAAAATCTGTGTTGTCTGGAGGAAAAAAAAGCGCCCTGTGTAACTTATTTGTCATCCCCTACAGTTTTGATATGTCCAGGTTCAACTGTATTAAATTGTGAATAAATGTTTTTAAAGGTCGATGCAACAATCATGCTCCTTACCAAAATTAATTATACTGAGTAGTACTTGTAATATTAAAAATATCCTGGGGAAAACTACAGAAGTGGCAAGCATCTTTCTTTATCTCCTTTTGTCAACACCGACATGCTCGGGTTGATAAAAGAAGGAAGAAAGTGCATTGAAAGTGTTGCTGCAACAGGAGGTTCTATAGGCAGCAACGGCCAGTACTAAGGTCATTCTGTGTTGACCTAACAAGGTGTTGTTGGGCCCCCTTTTAATTGACTCCAAAGAATCTGTTACATATATTGTGATACTTACGTTGGCGACCATCATCGAATGGATCTCTCACAGGCGCTGGCTGCTGAGAGCCCCGACACAGCTGGCATCAAGTTTGTGTATGAGGACCCACGAGACCATTGGTGCCAACAGTGTAACTGTGGTGATGCCAACAATGAATGAAATGTTTCGTCATCTGCACTCACCCAAGCACAAAGAGGTAAGGAGGCATTGAAGAATCTCTATGAGTTATTGCAGAAAACTTTTCAGCACGAAGTCACTGGTGTACAAGGTGGTTCAGTGCAAACCGAATTGTTCATATTGTTGATATTTGAACAGACTCTTTGTTATACCCCCAAACAAGGTCGCCAATTCGTACAGTAGACCTGCAGCGATCACATTTTTCAAATATTACAGTGCTGCGTGCCGCACAGACTCTCCATTTTGAAAAACAGTCACGTGTTGGGTTCTTTCACCTCACCAATCTTCCTCGTATGCACACGGTGACAAAAGCTTGCCTAGTGGGCAACTTTACATGGCAGTGAGCTCATCAATCAGTCCTTTGCCTTACAAAACTGGCGTATTGGCCCTGCGCTGATGCAGTTTCGGTCGCACAGTCCGTACTTTTATTTTCCTGTGCTGCCTTCTGCAGTTTTGTAGAGCCGCGACGCTACCAGAAAAAGAGGTATTACCAGAACGAAAGCCTTCGAGACAAAGAGCCATCTCGCTACTTTACTGCTAAGGAAGGGGTGGTCCTTGAACTGCATTTTTTCACCGCACAGCTGGGACACGTGCTCATGTCGGAGATGCAGTGCTCGGTCATTGGCTGCGCGCCGATGATATATGGCTAATGCTGTGCGATGTTGCCGAAGAGGGCATAGTCAAGACGATGGGCTACAGCAGAGAAAGGTGGCGAGGTCGGGCAAAACTTTAAAACCCACCGACACGGATTGTGCTAACCCCTGTAACTTCCTTACTATGGCATGCATTCGCAAAATTTTTGCTGCAGCATGTCAAGAGCAAGTAGAGAGCAATCGGCCAATATCCAACTTGAATTAGGTGCTGTGTTTGGATAAGATACGCTGTTTTGCCACGAGATGCCACCACGTGCTGGCACTGCACTCTATAGTCTGCAAACATAACACAATGAGCCATACTCATGTACAAAAATGACAATGTGAGAAAGTGCTCACGTTTATTCACACTTGCTCTCTCCCAGAATCACAGGCACGTCATGCTCCAGTAAAGTCGCTTGTTCTTGACAAGTTCAGTAACTTAAGGCAGCAATTGATTCGTGAGGCAATTAACTTCAATACAAAGGTCATTCGATTATCTTTGGAAATGTTGTTCATAAACACCTTTTGCAGGAAATGCCATTTCGTCAGTTTTGTTTAAAAGGTTGTGAGAGTGGTGTTAAAAGGTTATGGGATTGAGCGTGTTGGTATGGCTTTCGGACTGCAAAACAGTGCAAAAAATATACAGAAGGAACAGACAGGACTAAGTGCTCACTACTAATAACACATTTATCAAGAGCAAAGTTCTTGGAGCTCGAAGTAATACATCAGGTGTCTGCAAGAAACCCGCTGTACTGTTGCTTATCATGCATCGCTGCTTATGAGCCATGCCCACCGACCGAGACGGTCTGCACAGTCACTGCACCGAGTTTCCCAGTGTGGCACGAGCCTATTATGAGTGACAAAAAGCCCACGGTTCCACCAAGGCTGCCACAGCCAGCTGTACTTGTGGCGCTGGAGTTTCAACATTCTTGCGGGGTTTGTGAGAGGCTGTGGTTCGACTCGTCTAGGCGATGGAAAAACCTATAGCATTAACCAAAAAGGCTACACTGAGCCCCCAAAATCAACCAGCTTTCCTATGGCTAGTGTAAACTTCTTTTTTTGTGTGAACATAAATACATACGCTTTCCACATGAGAGGAAAGGAGGGGGTTTTTGAAGGCATGCATGCCTCCTATTCTATCTGGAACATGAGCTTTGTGGCGTGGATGCACTAACCGACAAAGAGATAGACCAAAGCAGAGCGTTGCTAGTTGGGGGTGGTTGACGCTTTCTTGTTGCACTGCGGATGACGAGACGAGGGCGATAGAGGGATTACAGTACTGGTGGTGAGCACCGCCTGTTTTGTTACAAGAAATCATTGGCCATGTGCACATATTCTAAATACATTGCATTTTTAAATCTTTTTTGATGTGAGAAGGTGTTGACAGAAGTTGTTGTGACACTGTACTTCAGGCTACACCATCTCATGAACGTCCATGGGCTGACCTAGAGAAGCCGGCACCTCCTGCAAACCAAAAATTCCACCGTACAATTGTCTCGAACGTCAAGGGTGAGCTCCCTCACGTTTGTGTCTACACACACAGTGCCATGGAATCTTCATTTCATTTTTTGTTTAGAATTATGTGGTTATGTTCAATTGTGTAATGCAATTGGAAGAGCAAGGCAGTAAGCACCAGCATTGCAAGGCCAGTGACAAAGCAGTCATTGGCTTTGCTTGCAATGTACTGGCCTATTGGTAAACAAGGTCGCAGCTTCCATGCTTGGAAGAGTTGATTTGGCAGTCTGAAGCAATGCTATAGCACCACTTGTAACGTAAGCTGGTTATAGTGCAGAATCAGCTATGATGCGAATCTGTTGTATTGTTTTAAATACAAGCCACTCCAGGCACTAAATGTAAAGTTATGAACCATGCTGTTGAACACTGCAAAGAAGAGTACCATTGAAAGTGGACTGATATTGTTCTTGGTCATATTATCTGTCAACAGGAAGCTGTTATTGGAAATTATTGTCACAGGAAATTGTTCGCTATATGAGAGCCACAGAATGTTTTTACAGAAATAAACCTTTTTCTTTTTTTTAAGGAAGTAACTTCGTGTTTGTTCACATGAAAATTCGACCAGCAAAGCAAACATATGTTAAAACATGTTTTCTGGTGGGAAAAGCTGCAAGTGCTAATGAGTGCAAAAGGCTGGGTTGCTGGGCTTTTTGTTCTTGAGGCAAAGGATCACAGTGACACATTTTACAATGATTGCTATTATTTTTTAATAGTTCATAACTCATTTCGTGCATGCTTTGTCAAAACTAGGTGGTGCTTATATTCTGTGATTTTCGAAAATAAACAATTGAGAGATACAGGCTCATGTGTGCCCTCAACGCTCTCCTGGTCTTTTGTGCATTCTGAAATTTTGTAATGAAAGTGTGTCTACAGGGCACCGTGTAAACTTTACCACCAGAACTACACGGTACCCTGTAGTATTTTTGCTAGTTGTGAATAAGTTATTTTCCTTTTGTAGTAGTCGTGTGCATAAATGGTATGTGCTGCTGTTCGCATGCAGTTACTAGTGACAACGCGTAGCAGTGCGTATAGTTCACGAGTGGAATTTTCAAAGCACTGTACCTAATAGCAGTGGTTCTATGAAATTTTCTTAAATTTTTTATGTTAACACTTTAGGTTCTTTTAGAACAAAATCAGTCATTTTTAGCAGCACCTAGTACACACTATCAATATATACGTCAGTCACGGCGAGATGGTAGAGGAATCTCTGGGTGGCATCGCCACTTGGTATCTTTTGCATGTTTGCTCGCTTTCCAAGCATCTCCTTGTGGAAACGGTGGTTCTTTGTGTTCCAATTAACGTAGAATTTTAAGGGAAATTGAATCTTAAAGCGATAAAAAAACCTTGGAACTTACGTTGCCCCTGGAGCCAATGTGTCGACAAACGGACTATTTTTTTCAAGGATGCGATGCGCTACTGGAGACAGTTGCTGCCTTTGAAAAAGAAGACATATCTGCTTGTTGAATTGTCGACTCCAGCGACACCGGTTGTTCCAAGGATTTTTCGTCCTTTAGTATTATGGACATTGTTTTTCTCATTAGCATCCCTTTAAGGGGACCAATATGTCAAACAGCAGGAAACGGCAGAGAGAATGAAAAGTGTTAGAAGACATAATTTTTAGATTAGTTTAAGGTCATCAACTTGTGAAATAAGGAAACTACGGAATCTTACATGAGAAAACAGGGTTGATAAGAAATCAGCGCAAATATGACGCACAGCACAGGCTCTGAACTTCAACTAGTTGAACTAGTTGGTAGCCAGTCGTGAGCCATTTTGTTCAAACCTTGTCTCCCTTCAATTTGTGCACATATCTTATGGATCATGTATGACCAACCTGGCCCTTCAGTTTTCGCTAAGCAAACATGGTATTTGTAGGCATAGAGTTTCTCATAAATACTCTAGAGGGAACTCTGGTGCTAGTGTCTATGGGAGCTGCAACGCGTGGCACTTCAGCGATCATGGGTATAATGGATAGCACTTGGATTTGTCTAGTCTTTGCACTTTCAGTTTTGTTTGTGTTCGCCTGGCTTGGAGCTGTTTTGTCACAAAACAAAAATCAGCAAATGCTAAGCGGTTGCAGCTTCACCACCTTAACCTTTTAGATTTACCATTTCGAATCGGGTCGCAAAGTTAAAAAGGATTCGTTGTTTCCTTCGAAGTAAAATCGGTACGCAGGAACAAACAAAGCCACAAGTGCGATTCGAAGTCCGCAAGTACGAACACTAGGCAGATCCGTGCACTACCCATCATTTGCACGGTCGCTGAACGATCGCAATGCCAGAGTGCCTTCCAGTTAATTTTAGGGGACTATGTTTGCAGGCAACTCTTCCCAGTTTTGTTAAGCACTGTTTCTGCTCATTGCAGGTGTCCAGTTCCTAGTTGGCATCTCTGGCTATTACTGCAAGCTCTGCAAGGTCATGAGTGGAGATTCAGCCATGGCCCGCAATCACTTGCACAGCCTTGAGCACAACCAGAACTACACGGTGCGTGGCCATGGTTCTGCTCTGGCTGTTTGCTGTCGTGAACCGTTGAATGCATTTACTAGGATGTACTCAAACCTCGATATAAGTAACGTGGATATAATGAAATATTGATTATAACAAAGTAAATGAAAAATAGCCTAACAATAGACACAGTGTTAGGGATATATGAATTTTTGGCTATAGATAGGGATATATGAATATATATAGTTAGGGATATATGAATTTTGGCTATAGACACAGTGTTAGGGAATGAATTTTTGGCTATATTGAATCTATTTTTGCATAAGATGCAATTATGGTATAACAAGGTTTGAGTGTAGTATGCTTCGAGATTGCTGCTAATTTTCTTATCACAGGCTCATTAACAGAAGAGAAAATTAAACAGGAAGCATTTGGACTTGTACAACAGCATAAAATTAGGAACTTTCTCATATTTTGGGTGCACTGGAAACGTGTCATGTCAGGTTAAAGCGACTGGTGCCGGATTTTTTTTTTTTGGCCCAGTTTTTTTACAGTGCAACGAAAATCTTTTCTCTCTTAATAGTGGCTAAATATACAGCAGTTGATTGCAAAAGTGTGTGGACACTTTATAAGCAGAATTCTGCAACCTGAGAAGCTGCTTACCGTAAAATGCCATGTATGCACCCCCCTACGATAAAGAATAATTCAACCATATTTTGGAAGGGGGCGCCAGACCGTTCATTGGTGCTTATTTCAGATCTCCCAAAAAGGGTGGTGGGGGGTGGGGGGGGAGTGCTAGCTTGGGTGGCAGTGCTTCTGCAGCATTTTATAATAAATAAGTACAAGTCCCTTCTCCAGAAATGCTGAAAAGTTAGCAATTCAGGTCCTTTATAACTGTGTGTTATCCTCAACCTCTTACTTTCAGAGTGGCAAGTGCAACTGTGGTTAACCACTACCATTTTGACATTTTCAACCATCTTTTTTTTTAATATAAGAAGCCACTAGAATTAACTTTTCGAAATGCTCAGTGTTGTGTGAAATGCATTTGCAATCTCACGAGCCAGGCGCTTCTGGTATTCTACAACTCGGCTACAGATGCCAGCACGATGCTGGAGATTGTCACAAAGACCACATGCTGCTGCTCATGAGCAAGTGAAGGAGGTGCCACTGTTGGGCTCACTAAAGAAACAAGCGCATGGACACAAGTTAGAAAATATTATGAGAACAAATGTGCAATACGTATCTCAATACTGGCACCATTGACTGTTCAGACCATGAAAAAATCGTGTTATTGGGATCATATGCATCTTTGCTTTTTTTCTCCGCCACATGAAGTGTTAAAGTGGCGTATTGCACTAAAGATATAAATCCCCGTCTGATATATAAATACGTGTCTGATAAGAAAAACAAGGCTCATTTTAGCTAATTTGATATAGTCTTTCCGCTGATAGATTGTCTAAACTTAAGTTTTGAGCAGTTGACTGTCCCTTTAAATTGTTGGCTTCATTATAATACAATGTAATTTTTATGGATTATGTGCATTTTATTACACTATCAAAAAGTGACATCGTAGTTAGTGCAGGAGCGTTTAAAGCTATGTAATCAGCTGTATGACTTTTTTTCCTTTTGCTCGCAAACCAACCATTTGCTCATGTCAATAATTGTAGGAACGATAATTCATCAATAGAAAAAAGTTATTTTTCTCTTTAGTACTTCTTTGTTATATCTAGATGTTGTTTTTCTGAGGTACTTACAAAAGAAAGTCTCGTGGAATAGTTTTTTATACTTAGCCTTGAGTAATCTCAGTCTCTCTCTCACTGGCTCATAAGGTAGTGAAGGCTCTCTTGTACTTTTTGGGGATGCTGGGATTGTGCGAATTCCTGTGACTTGTGGTGCCATCCTGCATGCTACAATGAATTCAGTGGTTTGTTTTTTCCCTGTCCTATCTCGTCTTTCTTTCTTCTTTTCTCTGTCATTTTTGAATTCCCCTTTTCTAACCCTTCGATTGTGAAGTAGCCAACCTGAAGTTTTCCTGGTCAACATTTCTGCCTTTTTGCTTTGGATTCTTCCTTCCTAGTCTGAAGTACATGAAGGTACTTATCCATAAGCAGAGGTTCTGTGTTTGAGCCGATATTTTGACAATTGGACTTTTCTTCTTCAAGGCTAGAACTGATTTTCTTAGCACTGGCACGTGTAGGCTTCATGCCCTTTCCTGCTATCCAAACAAAGGAGGATGAGAGGGCAAGTGTGGGTGATGCTGTACCAAAGGGGGCGAGGCTCCGAGATGGCACTGCCACCCCGTAAACCAAGGGCACTATGAGAAAAAAAGTGTTAGGTTTAAGGGAAGATGTAAACATGAAAAAATGAAAAATTTGTCAACATGGGGTGTCACTGGAGCCAACTTTATGACTAGCAGTCTTGTCTATAAGCCTGCAACTTCAAGGCGGTTGGGACCTTAAAGACAAGACTGCTTGTGAAAACGTCAGCTCGCGCAACACCCTGTGTTCACGAATTTTTCCTCTCTTCGTGCCATGTTCCAGCAGGCCTTTTTCAACTAATCCCAAAAGGCCACGGGAACACGTGGAGCTCTATGGGAAAAATGTGTACACCAAGCGAGCTGTCTGTCCACTTGACGGCTGTTCATTGGCATTGTAAAAGCATTAACTGAAAAACTCAGGCCGTCACTTGTTGACTTTTTTTAAATAGTAAATAATGCACTTATCTGCATGCACCTGCACATATTTCTACACATGACAACATACGCATACAATGCAAGAAGAATTTCAAAGTTTGATACCCACGCGCTTGTCACGGCGGCTGCCGCAGCATACACGCTTTTCCCATGAACGCTTGCGAACCCATTGGTGGCGCTCACGTGCTTGAAAAAGGTCTATTTGTTGGTATCGCATTCATTGCTTTGCTTTTGCAGTGACAGTGTAGGCTTTCTTTTTTCATTTGGAGCTTTTCCTTTTTGCAGAAGTACATTCTGCTCAATCCATTCTATGAGCGTCGGTGGAAAATGGAAAAGGACATAGCCCTGGTCTCAGCCATCAAGGAGGAAAAGGAAAAACAGGAAAAGGAGAAGGAAAAGCAAGAAAAAGATCGTGAGAAGGACAAGTCAAGGTCACGGTCACGCTCTCCATCCGACCGCAGTTTCTCAAAACGGCACAAGTCAAGCCGCAAAGAGGAGCAAGAGAAGATACGGCGAAAGAACGAAGAGCTTCAAAAGCAGGAGCGTGAAAACAGCGCTTCGGTAAAAGAATTAGACGACTCCGAAACGAGTCCAAAGAAGGGCGCAATGTCCACGTCACCTCCACCTTCCAGGGCACTTTCTGGAGGCAGCGCAATCAAGCTTAAGCTTCTAAAGGGCCAGAAACTCCAGAAGCAACCCCCCAAACCGACTCCTGTTGTGATTATTGGCAAAGCACCTTGTTTCCGGCCGTCATTCCTGTCTGGAAAGTCCAAGGTGGGAGGAGCTTCGAACGCGGCAACAAAGCAAGAGGAGAGCAAGCCGTACGGTCCGGCACTTCCGCCAAACTTGGCATCGGCTTCGGATGCGAACCTCGTGGAGGAGGCCAAGAAGAACGAAGCCGCCATGGAGATCCCGCTTCCCGACCCTGCTTCAGAATCGCAGGGTCAGTTGAAACTCGACAAATCTTTTAATAAGGTCTTTTTTTGATGTTTCTGTGAGGAGCGTGTTAGGTTCTGTTCGCTGGCATTACTGAGGAAGAAATTTTGTCTTTGTTTTGTCCATTTCAAAGTAGCCTTGCGACTGGCCCATCTCATTTCAGTTTGTATTCCATTCTTCATATGGCTTAGGAATAAAAGCTGCTCATTTTGTACATAAATTAAAGCACACCTGGTTTTTTGTCTTTTTGCCCACAACTCGGCCGTTCAGCCTCTTGTCGTGCTGCATACAGCCTACGCAATCACCAACACACAAAATTATTGCATTCAGAAGTGTGGCATCGTGTATTTATGAAGCTACCAGGTAGGCACTGTAATAGCATACGAAAGCTTATTGGCACTATTTTAGTGCCTCTAAATGTCCCCTCTTCTAAACTGTGCCTTCATTGTTCTCTCCAGCTTACTTAGGCTTTCGCAAATGCGACCTTTTTCGTCTCAGTGCTGTTACGAGGTTTGTGCAATGTTTGGCATAATAGTGCTCTATACATGGTGTTTTATTGTTTTGTTGTAGTTTAGCAACAGTGTGCTTTGCAATGGTTTTGAATGCAGTGGTCCTCTTTTGTAAAAATCTGAAGCTGCTTCATGACATTGCAGTTATTATAATAATTAGGGTTGTTGCCACTCTTGGTTGGGATAAATTAATTACAACAGTGCTTAAATCTGCTCTCTTACCAGTACAACGTTTTCAAGACACCCAAATGCATTCTTTTTTGAAGGATACCAGCTATTTCTTGCTATGCCCAGACATGTTTAAGCTGCTTTACTTATGGGGCCTGTACGTGACTGATCTCGTATGTTATGATCTATGAGGACATTTTTATGTGCATGTACTGAATGTTGCTCGTTTAAGAATGCCAGGTAAACATGAGTTCTCCACCAAGACAGCTGATTTCGCATGTAGTTAAAGTTTGGAACGATTAATTTGATATATGGGCTTTAACGTCCCAAAACCACCATATGATTATGAGAGACGCCGTAGTGGAGAGCTCCGGAAATTTCGACCACCTGGGGTTCTCTAACGTGCACCCAAATCTGAGCACACCGGCCTACAACATTTCTGCCTCCATCGAAAATGCAGCCGCCGCAGCCGAGATTCCAACCCGCGACTTGCCGGTCAGCAGCCGAGTGCCTTAGCCACTATGGCGGGGCTAGTTTGGAACGATTCTAAACAACTGGAGGGGTAATCATTCATGGCGATTCCACTAAATTAATGGTTATTTTTGCCTAGGCAAAGTTTAACTGTAGCAGCAACAGAAAGTGCCATTGTTTGTTACAACGCTATATCTTTCGTCGCATGTCGGCCCTTGATGTACACTATTGTTTATCGCTAAGCTTGCCTAGTAGAACCAAATGTTGATATGTCCCTCAAACATTCAGAGAGTTGCATCAACATTGTGGCAAGATATCATGCTTCAAGGGTTGTATTAACCTGAACCCACTGCAAAATTCTACTATGTGAAGCACGAGTTTAAGGTGCTTAGATAGAAAAATCATCTATATGTGACACTTGCGTAGCATTTGGGGCATGCACTGTGAATCTCATCATACGAGCAGTGTTACACGTTTCACCAGAAGCAATCCCTGAAAATTTTTTTGTACATTTCAACAAGCTGCCACTGCAAGGAAAACAAACAAACATCATATGACGGCAGCTTGATTGCGTAGGCTGTGTGCAGCCTTAAAATAGGCCATGTCCAACACATTTGCAAATTATTTCATTAAGTGGAACTCCGGCAAAAAGTCAAAAAACAAGGTAATTAGCTGGCACCATATGGCCGCTTCTCGTGTTCTGCTTTGCAAAAGTGCTTACAGCCAGTGCACTAATTGGTGAATCTTTTAAAACAGTTCCTGAAGGGGCCTGGAACACCTTTTCGAGTAATCATTAAATGACTTCATTAAAGGAGTCTATAGCCTCGAAACCTGGAGAATAACAGAGAGGGTTCAACTTGGGTTGAGGACAACGCAGCGACCAATAGAAAGGAATATGATAGGTGTTACCCTAAAATTGAAAAAGAGAGCAGAGTGTATCAAGGAACAAACGAATCTTAAGGGCACCATAGTCGAAAAATAGTCATGGGCAGGGTATGTAGTGCGAAAGCAAGATAACCGCTTATCATCAAGGGTCACTCACTAAATTCCAAGAGAAGGCAAGCAGGTGAGGGGGAGGCAGAAAGTTAGGTAGGCAGATGAGATAAGGAAGTTTGCGGGTATGAAGGGGCAGCAGCAAGCACAGGACCGAGTTGACTGGCGGAACATGGACGAGGCCTTCGTTCTGCAGTGGGCGCAGTCAGGCTGGTGACGATGAATGTGTCCCAAGTGGTCTGCTGCAAAAAGAATTGTCTGTAAAGCACGAGCTTAGTTACAGGGATTTGTTGCACACCTTACGTGCTTTCTTTCTCCTTTCATACCAGCAAGCGTGCTGACAGCTATGCAGGAAAAGGGATGAGAACGGGGGCCAGAAGATTCATCCATTTATTGGTGCATATCATGACCTCTAGCACTTACTGTTTTTTCTTAGAACACACAGCTTTCTCCCAGTGGGATCGCGAGATAGCGTGCAGGCGCACATTGCTGTGGTAAACACACAGCTCCCAATGCTCAACTCAGCCAATGGCCGTGAGTATGTGGCATCATTATTCTAGAGAAGAGTGGGCAATTTCTAGACTAAATTTTAAATTTCGGTCTGTGTGCTGCGCTAGTATAATGTATGGCTCAGATGTTCTCAGAAGCCTCGACTACCAATCGGCTGCGTTTTCGGACCCTGCTGAAGACGTGTGGCAGGGCCCCTTTAAGGACAGTATGGTTGCATGCAATTTAAGTTGATTTAGCAATGAAAAAAATGCTTTTGAGTAGTAGCTCCTTGAGTTGCAATTTCATCAACATCATCATCATTTATTTTTCCCTTAAAGGCCCCTCTCGGGGTATTACATAAGGGGGGGGGGGGGGGAGGTTACATAAAGAGTTACAAAACATATCGGATCACAATACTGAAACATAGCACATAGAAATGCAGACTTATTTAAAAACACACAAAAAAATGTTACAATTAGAATCAGGCATATAAAGGCGAAAAGAAAGAACAGTGTAAAAGAATTTTACAGCGTAAGATGATCAGTGAGCAACTGCTTAAATGCAATAGGGTTTCGCTCAACGACAACACAGTCTGGCAAAGTGTTCCATTCTGCAATGGCTGTTGGCAAAAAAGATTGATTAAAAGAAGACGTAGAACCGTGCAAACGCTGGACGCTGCACGAGTTAAAAAGGCGACGAGATGTACGGCTTGGCGGGATAAAGAGTTTACCGTGAAGATGTGGGAAGTTATAGTAAAGCCCATGGAACAAGCACAGCCCTGCAATCTTCCGACGGAACGACAATGACTCGAGTCCCAATGATGACTTTATGGCACTGATGCTTTCATCACGGCCGTACCTAGAAGAGATGAGTCTGGCCGCACGGTGCTGTATAGATTCTAAAGTGTTAATGAGGTATGCTTGATGAGGGCTCCAAATAGCTGAGGCATATTCAAGCTTACTTCGTATAAATGTTTCATAAGCCAGTTTTCGCGTGGATGAGGGACACAAGGAAAGGGAACGTCTGATGTAACCAAGTGATTTAGTAGTGTCGGCTGCTAATTTGGTGATATGATCGGACCATGTCAATTTTTTGTTTATTGTGACACCAAGATAACGATAAGATTCGACGAGGGACAAAGCTATCGAGTTTAAGGAATACGTGTAATTACTGTTGGAGCGCTTACGGGATATCTGCATAACTTTGCATTTCGAAATATTGAGTTTCATTAATAAAATTGGAACACCAGGATTCGATTTGATGTAAGTCGCTTTGAATGATTTCATAGTCAGTTCGGTGTGCGATGCGACGATAAAGAACGCAGTCATCTGCAAAAAGTCGAATAGAAGATGAAATGCCATTAGGAAGGTCGTTTATGAAGATGAGAAAGAGCAGAGGACCAAGAACGGATCCCTGTGGTACTCCAGAAATCACGTTAGTAGTGGCTGAACAGTGATTACCGACAACCGTGTATTGGAGACGATTGGTCAGGAAGCATCGGATCCATGACAACGCTAGGGGGTCCAGCTGTAGGTATGAGAGCTTGGCCAGAAGTCGCTGGTGGGGGACACAGTCAAAAGCTTTCGCAAAATCAAGATAAATGACGTCAGTTTGAAAGGATGAGTCTAAGTTTAAGTGAAGCTCAGTAACAAATTCAAAGAGCTGAGTATCACATGATAGGTTAGGCCGAAAACCATGTCGATTGGAGAAAAAGAAGGAATGATTACCTAGATGACATGCTATTTGTGAGTATATTATATGTTCTAGGAGTTTGCAGGCAATGCTTGTAAGCGAAATGGGACGATAGTTGGAGGGATCCGAGCGGCTGCCAGACTTGTGTACAGGTACTACTTTATTAATTTTCCAGTCCGTCGGAAGTGAACTGTCAGTGATTGACTGCGTGAAAATTATTCCTAATATAGAACTGGAGAATACTTTCGTGCCTTTTAGTATTTTGGCTGTAATACCATCATGTCCTGGGGCACTAGAAATCTTCATTTTTTCAATGAGCTTCAAGATTCCTTGAGAAGTAATGATTATAGGAGGCATATCGGAAAGAGAAAGGTTGGGCGGATCAAAGTCGTTTAGCGTGGGTTCATTAGTGAAAACAGATGAAAAGTACGAGTTGATTACATCTGATCGCTCATCAATTGGTACATTGGAACCATCAGGGTAACTCAAAGAAATGTTATTGGAGCTTTTACTAGGTGTGAGGATTTTCCAGAATTTTTTAGGGTTGACACGCATAATGGTCTGCAAGTCGTGGTGGAAGAACTTCTTTTTGGATTGCCTCAAAGCAGAAGTATATTGACGCAGACTCGTAAAATACTTTTCCCACTTTGAGGAAGTTACCGATTGCTTCGCATCGCGGAAAAGA